CCCGGGCAAGGGAAACAAAAGCAAAAATGAACATATGGGACTACATCAAGCTAAAAAGCTTCTGTACAGCAAAGAACACCATCAGTAGAACAAAAAGGCATCCTCCAGTATGGGAGAATATATTTGTAAAAGCCATATCTGATAAGGGGTTAACATCCAAAATATATAAAGAGTTGACACACCTCAACACCCAAAAAGCAAATAACCTGATTAAAAAATGGGCTGAGAATCTGAACAGACACTTCTCCAAAGAAGAAATTCAGATGGCCAACAGGCACATGAAAAGATGCTCCACATTGCTAATTATCAGAGAAATGCAAATTAAAACCACAATGAGATATGACCTAACACCAGTTAGGCTAGCCAACATTGAAAAGATTAGGAACAACAAATGCTGGTGAGGATGTGCAGAAAGGGGAACCCTCCTACACTGCTGGTAGGAATGTAAGTTAGTTCTACCATTGTGGAAAGCAATATGAAGGTTCTTCAAAAACTAAAAATAGAAATACCATTTGATCTGGGAATTCCACTCCTGGAAATTTACCCAAAGAAAGCAAGATATCAGATTCAAAAAGACATATGCACCCTTATGTTTATTGCAGCACTCTTTACAATAGCCAAGATATGGAAGCAACCTACGTGTCCATCAGTAGATGAATGGATAAAGAAGAGGTGGTACATTTATTTATACAATGGAATACTATTCAGCCATAAGGAGAAAACAATCCTACCATTTGCAACAACATGGATGGAGCTGCAGGGTATTATGCTCTGTGAAATAAGCCAGGCAGAAAAAGACAAGTACCAAATAATTTCACTCATTTGTGGAGTATAACAATGAAGCAAAACTGAAGGAACAAAACAGCAGCAGACTTACAGACTCCAGGAAGGGACTAGCAGTTACCAAAGGGGACGGGTGGGAAAGGGTGGGTGGGGAGGGGTGGGTGGGGAGGGAGGAGAAGGGGATTGAGGGGTATTATCATTAGTACACATGATGTGGCGAGGGTCACGGGGAAGACAGTGTAGCACAGAGAAGGCAAACAGTGAATCTGTGGCATCTTACTACACTGCTGGACACTGACTGCAATGGGGTATGGGGGGCTTCATAATATGGGTGAATGTAGTAACCACAATGTTTTTCATGTGAAACTTTCGTAAGAGTGTAAATCAATGATACCTTAATAAAACAAGTAAAAAAATTAAAATCTTGATTTTAACCAGCAAGCTTACCAACAGCTAAAAATCTCCAAAGGCATTTCGGGCACCAATTTCATGACTCTGGCATTCCAACTCAAGTATCTTCACTTGGGAATTTCCGCTTAGATTGGAAATTGCAATGATATCAGACCTCCCTGGTTGATGAGTTCAGGCTGACCAAATTACACAATTAACTGCACTAACTTCCACTTTGGCTATTTTCTAGTGTGGCAGGTGGAGGAGGGGGCACTGAAGAACTCAAGCCATTCACAAGATGTCAGCATGAGTTCTCTTTCCATAAAGAGTGTCTTTTCTGGGGGAAACTGCATTGTTATTCCACAAGCTGGAGTTGCCATGTTAACTTGGTCATACTACAGGGCGCATATTCAGGAAGGTAACACAAAAGACGGAGATGGAAAAGCTCTTTCTGCTGGCAGAAACTGATTCTGATACTGAAAAGAAGGTAATAGAGTGAGGCAAGGCCAGGCAGGGTATTTGGCATAACTGCCAAAAGCAAAAACTGTTCTGTACTAAGTGACCAAGAATTCAGAACACGCCTTGATGTTGCAGAGCCATTTCGGCGGGGGTGGGGTGGGGGGGAGAAACCTGACTGTGGTGCTAGGTGACTCAAACTGCTCTTAGCTCCTTCTCAGTCCCCTGACCCAACAAGTCTCCCCGGTGGTTATTTGCATCACAGAGGTGGCTGAATACTTTTCTAATAATGGGCCTTTAGTAACAGTGCGACAGCATTTTATGTGAATTTGAATTGTTAAAAGTTTAATTAGCAAAACAAAGATCTCACTGAAATCACATTTTGAGCATAATTTAAAATAATATAAATCTTGACATTTCAAAAACATCAAAACCTTAATCACTTCAAAGCTGGCAGTTTAGGACAACTGTAAGCTGTGTTTACCCTGTAGCCACCTGGCTGGACCCCTTCAGCGGGCAAGCAGGAAGACCCACTTCCTTATGTCAGCATGAGGTGACAGCACTGCTGCCGGCATTTATCAGATGGCTGTGAACCTCTGTGCTGTGCTTTTAATATTCAGTTTCATTCTAATTTAAAATCTCTTTGACATCTTACACTATTTAGTTATTCATTAAGGAACAGTACTAGTACTGAGCAGTGTACCCCAAATCCAGGAATTCACAACTTCTGATTAAGATGTTAGGAAGAAGGGAGTGCAAGGGCCACCAGGTCAGTCTCACTGACACTGGAGGAGGTGTCACTTCAAAAGACTGAAATAATGCTGTGAACATAAAAAGAATAATTTAAAAGATACACATATAAGTTTATTTTTTAAAAAAATTCATCCTGTACCTTAGGGGGAAAAAGGGAAAAAAAGTCCATCAGGGATGCATCTATATCTGTGAGCCATCATGTTGTCTGGCTAAGGCAAGATGCATTTTTTAATTATTTGAAAGGAGGTAAAGAGAAGTGGTGACAAGCATATGTTGAATGACACGAGCCTAGGACTTCAGTTAAGGACCAAGAGACACTGGGTATGTGCACATTCGGAGGACAGCAAACAAGTTAGGACAGATGAGCTCCTCCAGGTCTCAGCCCCTGACCATCATTTACCTTCAACATCCCTTCTATGGCAAACACTGCTGGGGGTGGCCATCCTCACACCTGTGTGCTACCCACCCTAGGAGGGGATGTGCCAGCTTTCCTCTCTCCTTTTGGGGAAGGTGAGGGATTGTTTCCCAAACTTCACCCTTAAGTCATCAAGTGAGAGGAGCTGGAGCATCACTCACAGAAACTAGAGGGACCTGCAGGAAGTGAATCCAGGACGCTGTCACTTGTCTGGACACCTGCTGGGGTGGAAAAGGAGGAAGATGTAAGCAGACAGTTGATTACACTGCCAAGAGCAAGAACTGGAAGCGCTGAGATGGAGTGAGAGCTGCGGTATTTCCACCTGGAAGGCTCCCCTTGTGCCCTGATGACTGGCCCCTGTATTCCACAAGAGAGCCTACCTGTGGATGTGCCCTGCTGGGGACAGGGAAGCAGGAACAAGCACGCAGAAGGGGAGGTGGCTGAGAGACAACACTCCCCCTACCCCACTCCATGATAAACGGGTAGGGGGAGGAATAAAAGAATTGAGGTCTCCCTCCCAACTCCAAGTTTCTTACGTGAAAGCCTGACCTTGACACAGAGGTGAGACTGGAATTTTAAACTAGACATTGCTGAGCCACTTTTGGTTTACTTATTTTTTAATAAGAAAAAGGGAGCCAGGGTGTTACAATACTTACCCAAGATGATATAAAGGGGTCTCCTACTCAGTATAAAGAGATTCATCAGGGAACATTTGAGATTAGTAATTGTAGAAAAATAAAACAGTTTCATGTCTGTACTCTCTGTAATTAATACTGTTCAATAAACCAGTCACCCAAGTGTTTGCTGTGTTTAAAGAATTAAAGAAAAAGAATACTTTCTTAGTTACAGATTTATGTGTCTCTCTTCTGATTTACATATTTAAAATCCAGAATTATAAGTACTTTGGACAGAAGTCTTTAGGGACATGTACCTGGAATAGAACATTACACCCTCTACCTCACACAATCACCCCTGGCAGAGGGTCCAGCTGTTGGTCATAAGGCTGCCCCCCAGAGATTACTGAAGCATAAGTGTGGCATGACTGCTACATTTGAAACTTCTTACACACACATACACACACACAAAGTGCCCAAATGTGTGTTACACAAATGAAAGATGGATATGCGGGATTCCTAGTCAATATACTCCAAGGGATTCTATTTATGACACCTCCTGGAAGTCAGCATGAATATGTGAAACAGTGTCTGAGTGGTGACCTTGAGAATGTGGCCAAAGGTAACAACAGTGCTGTGATGAACAGCAAGACAACACTTGTGTTATCAGTAGCAAGACCAGCCATCCAGCTGAATTTAGGTTCAAACTGAAATGATGAATATGAGAGATAATCAAGATAAATACTTTTCCCAAAGAACAGAATCTAGGAAACTGTAGTATGAGGAGATACATATCCCAAAGACAATGACATCAAAATGTGTAGAGAAAGAACATGGAGACAACTCTGCAATGAGGAAGTACAACCTCCAGCTTCAAAATAACCTTTCCTAAAGTTAGCTCCAGGAGTAACAGCCTATGTCAGCTGTAACGGCTGTAATATCTAAATGGATGTGAACAATTGAACAGGTACAGGCGGAAGGAACATCTGCTCAATGTTTAAGGGAAGGAGTGCTTTGAGATTTGTACAAAGTTTGTCTCTAATCTGAGCACTCATATTAAAAAAGATAACAGCTGCTCTTACTTGCTTTGAAGACTGTCATGGGTGGTATGTTATTTTTGTTTAGGTATGGGAAAGTTACAGGGCTAGGTAGAGGGTGAGACTGAAATTATATCAGTCCAACTTAATAGTTATGAAGGTTACTCTGCAGTCAAGGGGGTAGTAAGATGTTACCAGCCATAATCTTGTTCCAAGTGCCCGATTCTCTCCTAGGAAAGCTGGTAACCAGGCAACAGATACTCCTGCCCTTGTCCCAGAATTCTGTGGGGTTTAGAGCCCAAGAAACTTCTTTAACTTTTACAGGGTCCTAAGCTTTGTGCATTTGATACCCTTGCCCTTCACTGAGAACCAGGCAGTTTCTTTTCCTAGTTCCTTCAGCACTGCCTCTGAGATCCATCGGTTGCTGCAGTAAGAATTTTTATTGTAGATTTTCTATCTTCTGGCACATGTGACATGGTAGATGGTATTTGAAAATGACAGAGAAACTGACATTCCTTAGCTAACACAATATGAGGCTTTCAAAAAAATTACCTGTTTAGGTTGAGCTCCCTTTGAGAGAATGTCAAGTAAGTCTGCAGAAGAGACGAAATAGAAGCGTGGAAAAGCCACACGCTTGGTCTCCAGGTATTCAGCAAGAGCTTTTTCACAAAGAGAAAGCCTGTATGAATGAAAAATCTCTCTGAGCATATCTTGCCCATTCACTTATTAAAACAACAACAAAACAAAATCCAGGTCCTCTCATCTGTCCATTCGTCACAATAAGCTTACTCCTTAACAGGTAACCTACCTTCTCTTTGACACCATCATTCTGCTAATAACTAACGTACAAGTCACGTCAAGGAGGAGGAGATACACACACACACAACCATTAGTTGAGACTAAATATAGGTCAGTCTTAGGTGGATGTCACTCATCACTTTTCTTAATAACACTCCTAATCAACTGTATTAGAAACTCAACCTGAGCACAAAATGCAATAGTTGAGATGTATTTGGTTTAAGGTCTTCGTGTTCCCACTGTCTACAAAACTTCAGTTCTCTTTGGGGTCATGGGAGTCACAAGACCCACAATCATTTCTCCTTCATTATTCCTAGCAGAGCAGAATGGCCACAGGCAGAGCCCCAAGCCCCAGATATCAGTGACTGAGAAATGACTGACTGCTGTGGAGACCCATCCCATTCAACTGAGGGCTAACTTTATTTCTAAAATACTCCCAGATTATGAAATAATGCTGCTTTTGTAACACGTTTTTATCTAGGGTTCTCCTCTGCCTTGCAATGAAAAGTGATTGCAATTCTGCACAAACCTCTTCTTTGAGTAGCTGATCTATTTTTTAATCAAAAGCCAGAATATTCTTATTACCACTATCTGATGTAGAATTATATGTGAAAATGGCCCTTACATATTACACATAATTATATTTTATAAACAATTATATAATTATATGTAATATGTCATATATTAATAATTAAATGTGTAATTTAAATGTGATAATCTGTAATAATTTATGTAATATACAATTGTAACTATATATTACAAATGGCCCATAGGACAAGGATTTCAAAAGTAATAACATGCTAAGAATAATTTCTAATATAATACTACATACAAACTAAAGGATATAAAATAATTGAGTGCATTCCTAATTCCTGCCATATGGTAGATACTTAATAAATACTTGTAGGATGGTTCAATAAAAGAACTGATCAATCAATCATGTTGATTCTCTTGATGAAAAGATATTCTAATTTTATTATTATGATAGTCCTTTCAGCAAATAAGTATACTTGGATTTGTTTGCATTAACTCACAATATAAATGTAACAATACATATGTCCAAGGCATTTAAGTAACTATAAGCCTTGGCCTGAACAATTAGGTAACCTACAATAACATGATGTTAAATATTGTTAAGTATTTGAAACAAATCTCATAAAACTTTAACAGATCGATCATTTTATAATTGTATTCTTACCTGTACTGTAAATCTTTAAGTTTCTCATAGAGATTAGTTCTGCATGTGGCTTCTAAAACATTTTTTATTGTAGCTGTCTTGAACATCAACTCCTGTGTGAAAGTACAACACGAAGCCATTGATATTAGAAACTACTTTCCTAAATTTTTCATCCATTTTGCGAATTAAAAAAGTGAAGAAGAAACAAGCTATAAGATATCAAGATCAAAGAGACTTCTAACACCACGTCTGTTCACTTTTGCTTTCTAGCTTCTAGATGAAGATCAAAAGAAATGTAATCATACAGTCTTTATCAAAATAAATTCTATAGACATTACCACCACTCTGGGTCCACACAGGATTTCTCTCTTCTAAGACAAACAAATAAAAAGAGAGTACATTCACATACAAAAAATGAGTTGAATACTAAGCAACTGTCTATTGTCTCCTCCTTAAAAGTTAAATACAATTCCTCTGCATGTTCTGGTTTAGGTAGGAAGAAAATATATAAATCCCATTTCTATATAAAAGGGTATACCCATTATTTTTGGCTGAACATACCTTAAATCATGTATCATTATTATGTGTATATCTATCTCCATGTGTTCTGCGGCTCTTATGAAACAAATAAATAACTGCTAGTATTATTTTGTCACTACTTCCCCTCCTCAGTCTTTTACTTAATGAGGATGACTCTGCATTGCCTTACAGCAGAGGCAGGCAATCTATGGACTATGTAAAACAGCTGGTCTACTGCCAGTTTTTGTATGGCCTGAAGCTAGAAGGGTTTTTACATTTTTAACTGGTTGAAGAAAAAATCAAAAGCATAATATTTTGTAACACATGAAAATTATATGAAATTCAAACTTCAGTGTCTATAAAGTTTTATTGGATCACAGCCACACCCACTCATTTGTGTAGTATCTGTTTTCTTTCAACCTACAATGGTAGCATTTAGTACTTGTGACACAGACCATATAAAACTCCAAAGTCTAAAATATTTACTATCTGGCCCTTTACAGAAAGTTTCCTGACCTGTTTCTCGAAATGCAAAGTACACTTATTTTTATAAATATAATACCCCAAATCATGTTTCTTTACAAGATTTTCATATTGTTTGGAAACCTTTGCTATGTAGAAAACAGTCTGCTTCCACGAACCTTAAATTCCGCATCTACTCCATGAAATCTTCCAGCATCTTTTACAAGCTGGATTCGAGTATCTTCTGAACAAACAAAGATGCTTTCCAGGTTAGACCAAGTTCGCTGGACCTCCATCCAAGTAAAGATGACTGAATCTGCTATGTTTAGTTTATTTTGCCAGCTTAAGACTTGCTCAATGAAATATTCCACATACTTACTCTGAAGCAGAGTCTGCAGCTGAACCTATAAGAAAGGCAAAGAATTTAAAGTAACAGCTAAATTGGTAGACTATAAGTTCCATGAGGGAGAGACCATCCTATTCTGTTTATTGTTGGGTTCCTAGGACCTAGCATGCAGTGCATGGAATAGGCATTCAGTAAATTGTTTGCTAAATGAGTTCATTAATGGCACTGTATATTAACATTTTTTTTCCATAAGAAAAACTATAAATATCAGCAACTATTTCACATCTTCTACAAAAAGACCATGTATCTTTTTATAAGCAGAAAAAATGATTGTGCACTGGGGCCCAGCTTTAGGATTAAATTTTATTCTTTCATCTTCTCATGTTCTCCTGGCCCCTGCCTACTAATCATTCCAAGGTGGTAGGTCTTTTTTCTCCAATATTGAAAAAATAAAACAAGCTTCCTTCCCTCCAGCTTGCTAATAAGCCTTCAAGCTTCCATTTTCCTCCCCTTTCAGTCTACTACCAAACTGCAGCTTTCTTAACACCAAGGCTTGCTTTAGTGCCACGCCATTTCATGAGCACATCTCACATTCTCTGGCACTGAAATCTCAGTCACTGAGTAGACTGGCCTCTTCTCATTCTCCTTCAGCTCTAAGTATTTAATACATTTGATTCTCCTTCCCTCCACCCCAGCTTTATTGAGATATTATTGACATATAACATTGTGTAAACTTAAAATGTACAACTTGATGATTTGACACACACGTAGATTGTGGAATAGTTACCACAGTAAGGTTAGTTAACACCTCTCTCCCCTACATAATTTCTTTTTGTGGTGATAATATTTAAGTCTATTCTCTTAACAACTTTCAAGTATATGATAGTGTTGTTAAGTACAGTCACTGGGTTGTACACTAGAACCCAAGAACTTATCTTACACCTGGAAGTTTGTATTCTTCGACAAACACCTCCACCTTTCCTCCACTCCCCAGCCTCAGGTAGCCATCATTCTACTCTTTGAATCTGAGTTCAGCTTTTCTAGATTCCAGTTACAAATACAGTATTTGCCTTTTCTCTATCTAATTTATCTCACTTAGCATAAGCCCTCCAAGTCCATCCATGTTGTTGCAAAAGAAAGGATTTCCTTCTTTTTTATGGCTGAATAATATTTTATTGCATATATGTATCACATTTTCTTTATCTATTCACCCATTAGTGAATACACAGGTTGTTTCCATGACTTTTGACTTTTCTGTGAGGAAAAACCTTGCCTGTGGTTTCTATGATATTGCAGTCTCCTTTTTCTATTATTTCTCTAAACACTTACTGTCTGCCTCCTTTATGTCTCCTCTTCTTATTCACCAAACACAGCCTTTTCTGAAGCTATATTCTCAGCTGGCTTATCTACTTTACCCCTCATTGTCTCTTTGATCAATTCTCAGGACACCAACAATGACCTCCCCACCTACTATTGAGTCATTTTACTCTTTTACATTTCTTATCTCTCATGTACAAAAAGATGCCAGCTCATAGCCTTAGAATTCAAGAGCACATATGCTGTGCTATGGATGGTCTTTCCAGCCTTACGTTTTATTTCTCTGAAAGAAAATCTATATGCCCAAGAAACTAAACTCTTAAAATTACCTCTGAATGGCAGGTACTTTCCAAGATGCCACCAACATTGTCCTCATTGTCTGTAACACCCTTTTCTGATCACCATTCATTGCTGAAATCCAGCCCATCCTTCAAGGCTCCACAGGAGCTCCCCTCACCTTACAGAGCCCTCCCTGAGTTTTTCACCCTCCCCATCAGAGCCTCTCTGCCTCCTTTTAGACCCCTTGGAGCCTTTTAGTCTGTCTCCCTATTTAAGGGCAAGTTCCTTGAGAACAAGTATTCCTACCTTTTGATCTGAAATGGTACCATGTGTAGAGTCTGGTATAATTAGATGACAAATGAATGAATGAATAAATATTGAATACTGGAACTTGGAAAAAGTTTAAAATCATAATTTAAAAGAAAAAAGCCTGTAATAAAAATCCATCTTACTTGGTTGTGCTCTAGAATTTCAAAAAGTTGCTCATCAGACTTTAGCAATGGAATGCCTGTCCGATAATGAACGTCATAAGAGAACTCCATGGTGGCCCAGGTCTGACTGATTTCATTGATAACCTAGGCATAAACAGTGTTCAGTTATGTGCACAAAAGTTAAGTTAGGCCCAATATCTAGGCTATCATCTGGAATTTTTAAAAACTTTTTATAATTTTCATAAAAACGTTATAGATTACTGGCTTCAATTTTTTTTCCCTCCAAATAATTCAGGGTGATGATGTTTAGAGAACGAATTCCATGACAGAAGAGAAACAAGCCTCACACCAACATCAAATTTCTATTGGATCAAAGTTTTATGTCATTCACTGAAACAGAACACTAGAGCAGGAAGGAACTACAAAAGTTATCTAACAGCTTGAAAGGCATGGTTAACAAATTAGCCGGCATGATATAGGTAGTACTCTGAGTACCTGTGAATCCCAGTTCCTGGGTGAACCTGGGTAAGTTAATTACTTCCCTATACCTCAATTTCCTCATCTATAAAATAGGGATGATATTACCTGCTACAGAGAATCAAATGAATATAGATAAAGCACTTTCAGCAGTGCTTGCTACAAAATAAACGATATGTGCCTTTTGCTGTCATCATCATCAGTGAGTCAGCGCTCTTGTTTTACGCATTTGTTGAGCCTTAGAAGGATTCTGTTTCCTGCCCAAGTCGCACACAAACTAGCAGTATGGAACAAACTGGGACTCAGGAGTCTACACGCCCATGGCATGAGGACTTTTGAGTCTGCTTATGTACAAAAAAAACAGCCCTGAGCACACTACCTTTTCAGTCCCCAGTTCTTTCATGGCTTTGTCCACAATGCTTTGCACATCATCTTCCACTTGGTGTAACCGCAAGGCTAATAAATCTGCCAAAGTTGTGGCTTTGTTTATTGAAAATTTGACCTAATAAGGAAGAAAATCAGGCAAAATTTATATTCTGCATATATTAATGGTTCCTTTTACCTAATAGCCAGAGAAATGAATCATAGCTAAATATACTGAAGTTAGTTAAGTGCATCTCCAGTTCTGCAAGGTGTGGACAACCAAAGACATTACTTTTTAACCTAAAATTACTAAGACACCACCCACCAGAAGGCAGGGCTATGGTTTATGCCTTGTTCACACTACAGTACTTTCTTTTATTTCATATCCTTCTCTTGTCAGCTCATTTTTTATCTCCTTGCCCACAAAACCTATTTTTAAAGAGAGTCACATTGTTCATTTATTACAATTTGGTTGAAATCCCAGGAATCAGGAAGTAGTTCATTTGGCTTGTCTTCCTAAAGTCCTCTATTCACTGAAAATAATTTCCAGTTGTTTCCGTGATTTAACCTAGTTTTATCACTAATTTAATCTTAGTTCCTTGGCCAAAAAAAAAAAAAATCTTAATCATTATTCATATTTACCATGCAAAAAAGTAATTCACATTTACTTCCTTATCATTTTGCTGACTCCCCACCCCCAACCTTAGTACTTGCTAAGAAACTCAGCTCTTCCTAGATGCCCAGACTCACTCTTACCCCTCACAAATGAAGAGCTGCCCCCACCACATGGTTGCAGCAAAGCCATTTCCTTTTCCACTCCTGCTAATATCCAGTCCCTGCTTCTTAGAGGCTGCCAGGCTTTCCCCAGCCTCTAACACTGCTCATCACCATCCACCCACCTCTTCACTTAGAGGGACTAAACCCAGTTCGCCCAGGACTGAGGGGTTTCCCGGGATGTGGGACTTACAGGGCCCAAACTTGGAATGTCTTGAGCAAACCAGGTGAGTTAGTCACCCTATCTCTGCATCACTTTTGACCTCACTCCAGAGCTGATGCAGGCCAGGAACCCAGCTGTGTCTTAAGAGAAACAATGAGCAGGAATGAATCATGGCCCTCCTGAGTAGTGTGCAGTCTGTGCACTGAAAATGGACACCCACCCCAGGTGACAACTGAGTCTAGCTGCTGCTCTGATATCCTGGGACAGCTTGGAGGAAGGTACTATTTTCTAGATTATCTGCCAGAGAAGGTGCCCTTTTCTAGCTGACAGAAAGGCACAATACAGCCAAGAGACCATGGTGAGGAGACAGCTCAGTGGAGGGGATGTAGGAGGGAGACGGGCACACAATCTATTCGGAGATGAGCAAAGGTTTTCTACATGAATAAATACATCCGTGAAGTACAAAGTCTAAATATCCAATGTCTAAAAGACTCTATGGAAATTATTGTAATAATAATAGCTTCAGGGACCACTTAGTAAGCACTTACTACAAGCTAGGTATCTATCTATCTATATTATCTCATCTCCAATTTGTTCACTAAGTCTACAGGGAAAACATTGTAGCATTATTTTTACTTTCTGGAAGGAGCAACTGACGTAGGGAGAAAGCAGGTAAATGACCCAAGATTCCAGAGTTACTCAGTGTTAGGGCCGGACAACTAATGCCTAGGCCACCCTCACTTCACTTGGTGGCTATTTTCCTCAGTTTCCCTACTCGGCAAATTTAGTTTTCCAATCATGGGACCCCTTCTTTCCAATGTGTGCCTAGGAGAAAACACACACATCAGGCTGGCCTTTACATATTTTAAACTCATAAAGGTCACCTTCCCTGACAAATAAAGTGTAAGGTTGTTATATTTGCTCTTCAATAGGTGTACAAAAGCAAGGAAATAGAACCTCAAGTGCAATGGGCACATGAGACATCATTTTACATTCTGCAATAAAATTAAAATCATCAAATAAGGCCATCAAAAGTGACATTAGTAAATGAATTGCATGGGGGAAAAATCACAAATTTCAGAATTCTCTCTGCCCCTAAATTCACATCTATACCCTCTGATCTTCTCCACAATATGTCAGATTCTTTGCAAACAGGTCGTGCTTTATAAAATGCCTCCACAGTATTTCACTTGATCCTTGCAAGATTCCTCTGATAACATGAGAGCAAACAGCAGCCCTCTCTTTTTATTATTAAAAACTCAAAATAGAGAGGTTAAGTGTCTTGCTTGAGATCACATAGCCAGTAAGAGATAAAAGGCGGGTGGCCTTAGTTCCTGCCACTGTAACAGAATACCACACACTGCATGGCTTTCTTTCTCACAGTCTAGAGGCTGAAAGTCTGAGATCAAGGTGCCAGCAGGTCAGGTTCTGGGTGAAGGTCCTCTTCTGGTTTACAGATGTCTGTCTTCTTGTGTCTACACATCGTAGAGAGAAGAACGCTCTGGTCTTTCCATCCCCTTCTAGGGGCACTTTTCCCATTCAGGAAGGTTCTACCCTCATGATCTAATTATCTCCCAAAGGCCACACCTCCCAAAACCATCAACATTGGGGATTAGGCTTCAGCATATGAATGGGCAGGGGTTGGGGTGGGCAGCAGGGGGTACATTTAGTCCATAGTAGGGGTTTAAAACTAGGATCTTTGCATACTCAGCCTGGTGATCCTATCTCAAGAAGCTTGGCCTCTCCTATTTGCACAGAAACCTTGTCACAAATTTCACTTCATCCCAAATGAATGTAAACCAAGGAGTAACACTTCAGTCACAAAAACATTCAATTAAGGAGACCCAGAGAACTTACCCCAATGGCCTTCATCAGCTGGTGCCAGTGCCGGTCTCTGAGGGCAGGGCTCTGTAACTCCGTGACAGCTTTCAGAGAGGTCAGCATGTCCTTCACCATATCTTCCAGGCCTGCATAAGTGCCCCAGACACGGACTTCCTTGTCTAGTGACCAGATTTCCTAAAGAAAAGTGAATCACACACACACACACACACACACACACACACACAGGTCTCTAAATATAAAACACGGTATAGTTTGCCTCCTTTAAAAGAATAAATATACATTTGCCTGGGTTACTAGAGACAGTGAAAACATGAAAGCCCCTAGGCTAAGGACTAAAACCAGAGAAGTAGGAAAGGATCCAGTTATTTATATATTACAAATCCATTATGTACAAGGCATGTTGGATTCATTGATTTCTTACTCATAGGCTCTAACTGGATGTCCCATGACTCATGGGACAGTAAATGTAGGGAAGTAACAGAGTTTAATGGACATGTGCAATGAAGAGGGTTACCTCTAAAAACATTGGTGGAAAACTGAGATTGCTACCAGGATTAGTAAAGCCTTCCTGACCTGTTTCAAATGGTCACCTTGGAATATTAGTTACCTTTGAGTGTGTGCTCTTTGAAACTTACATATTTCATGACTTTAAGGTGTCAAATAGGGCTCTGGACTTGGCTGTCTTCTTGGCCCAGGGAACATCAACAATCAGCAATGAAAAAGCCCATAATAAAACAACAAACTCAGCGCAAAGGACAATGCTCTACTTGTTAGAAAACATAACAACGTCAGCTAAGAGTGACGACTATTTAACTCATTCTGAGGTGAAATGGTCAAACGTAGAGGAGATAACTAGGGAGTGAGCACAGTACTGAGGGTCAGTGACCTCATGATATCCAAAAGTATGATGGGACAGTTTAGTTAGGGTCTTTGGGGACAGGATATTGTGGGAGAAAAAAACAGGAAGAGCTGGTAGGAGGTGAGCACAAGACTGAGTAGAGGCAAGGATATTCTAGGGTGAGAAGAAAGCAAACTATTTAACTGCCTTTCATGGCTAGACATTTTGGCTTTACCCAGAGCCTCCACTCTCTTCAAAGGGCATATGGCTATGGGGACTAGATATCAAACCAAACTGAGCTAACCTAAAATAAACTCAGTTCTGTATATATTGATCCCCCAGGGGTATTGGAACAATCAAGAATAAGAACAAATAGCATGGTTATTTCACACATGGCCACATGAGACATACTTAAATGAGTTGTCCCAAATTCCAGAACCAAATGGTATCTTTTAAGATACAAAATACTTACAGCTACTAAGGAAAGAATTCAAAATCTTCATAAACCCAACCTCTCAGCCCTGTACTCTCAATCTCAACATCCCTTCCTTCCACAGGAAGCTCATGATGGGAGTTGCTGCTCAAATTCATTAGCCCTAATACGCTTTTATCCATTCACTCACAGAAAGGCAGGCTTGATTAGAAGTGCAACTGTCTGAGAATTAAAAAAAAAAGTACCATCTCCTATCATTATGTTTGAAGTAAATAAGGACACGAGGCCCAACACACCAGATACTGGGTTAGAGAACATGGAAGGAGGTGGGGCTGAGAAAGATAAATTGTTGGAATAAACAGTTATGGAACTTGCCTTGGCAAACCTTCTGAGTTCTGCATCCATCTGTTCCACATTAATCTGTCTCCACTGGGTTTTAGTCCAATTATCAATACTTCTCTGGAAACGTACAAGCAGATAAAAACGTCAACAACATTTGGTGAAAGCAAGTCTCCACAGCAAAATATATAAACTGATGTTACAGTGACTCTATCATCCAGTGGGAAGCCAGTTATTTAAATATTAACTGCACTTGTCAAAACTTCCCAATCACCAAAACAGAAAAGTTGTCAGAACATGTCAAACTGAAGGCTAAAACATTATAATATATTAATTTCTAGTAGCAATGACAAATTCCATTCATACACCATCATTATTTAATCCTGAGTACTTTGAATTGATAAATATATTACCATTAAATACCAGATTTTTATGATCCTACATATAACATAAGGTGTTTTCATAAGACAATCTGCAACCATTATGAACACATTTCTCTTAACTTCTTGACAATATTGTCTTGTTAATATATTTCTATGTGATTTTCAACTAACTTCAAAGAAAATTATGTATAATGCATGTAGCAATATGCCTAGTTTCCTAGAACTTATTTTTATACCTAGGTTTGTAATCTAATTAACCATACACACATTTATTTAAATATGTACATACACAGGCTATAAGCATGGGTATAGACATGAGTTTGTTGCCCAAGTGACCATACATGTATAATATATACTATTCTATTTATATCTCACCTAATCCCCAAAAAGGATTTGAAGCTCATAACTCATTATACACAGTTTCATCCATATCTAACAATAAAAACGACTAATAGTTCAGAAAAGAATCTTTTAACAGATACATGAACTCTAATCCTGGGGATGGGGGAATACAATGTCCATATATTTCAAGATTTTATAAAACCCAAATAGAATGATATAGACACTGCCAATGCATAGTTACACAAAAGAACTACTAAGAGGAAAAAGAGAAAAAAAAAAGCATGCTTTCAAAAGGCAAAGTCTTACTCTAACATAAATAATGACATCCCAGAGCCCCTTGAGCAATTTTATTTCTTTGCGACACAGCTTCATTTGCTTGTACTCTGGAAGGGCCACTTCAAAAAGATGAGCAGATTCTTGCATATGCAACATTTCTTCTTCTAATGCCTCAAGCTCTTGATTTGCCTAAGGAGAAAACACACACACTCTTAACATTCAAAGAACAGCCAGAGAAAGAGAAGCTACAATTCTATAGCTCTCGTTATGCCAACATTTACAACTTTGATTTTAAAAAGAAAATGCAAAGAAATCTGCAGTGTAATTATTGGGCAAATGTAGAAGGCTTTCAAAGAGCAAACTCACAGTTACTCAAAAAGTGAGGTAGACTATCAGTAAATAATGTTATCATTACTCTATACATCAGCAAACTTTTGCTCTGTTATTGGATTTCTATAAATACAATTCTTCCTCTTGATTTTCATCGTACAGCTGGGGTCCTTCCTAGGAATTTTCTAGAGATTCCATGTAAGAATAAACCACTTCCTTCTTTAAAAAAAGACCTTTGGATTAAAAAAAAACAAACAAACTAGATATTATCAATAGTACAAAATGAACTGAAGAGAATTCATGAAATAAGACACTGGAGCCAAAAACAGCACAGTATGAGAAATTTCACCAAGCGATTATTTTTTCCAAGGCTCACCTACCATCTCATCTCTCTAGAATAGTTTGTTTTACACCAAATAGAAGACTGGTTCATTTTTTTTTCTTGATAGGCCAATTCTTGATTTTGGTTCTTATTAACCTAGAGTATATTTACATGCTAAGAGCTCAAGGAGTACAGAAGAACAATTGGAAACACAGATTGACTCTCCAATTCTTCTGGTTGCAATTTCTCTTAATTCTGTGCACAAGTTGCTGTTTCCTGATTTACCAAGTTTAGACATTACACTAGGTTACCAGCTTTGCAAAAGAAGGCAACTTTTCCACTTTGTTTTCTCCTATCCTCCTCACAATATACAACAATTATATTTTTAGTTCTTATGATTTTAACTTTAAATAACGATACTCAATCCTTTGTGTTTCAACTTTCAATTCTGTGTCTTAATTTCCTACTATGCAGGCAAGAATATTAGCGCTCCAAAAGTCTTTCATTATATGTTATGTATTACTTTTTTCTAAGTGACACTTTTATTTAAAAAACTGCAATTCTCTTAGCTTTTCAAATCTTTTATCAAGAAAAATTACATGCACATAAAAAGGTCTGCTTGTGAACATACACACCATCCAGCTTAAGAAATACTGTTAACTAATAACTCTTCATGGCCTTCTCAATTTTATCCCTCTCCTTCCCACCATATAAAATTAACCACCAAATTTTTATTTAATATTCCCAATTTTTTTCACTATTTTCACTATATAAGTATGTACTTCTATATGCTAACCTGCTAAAATTTTTGTTTTTGGAATTTATATGAATAGTTTTATACCATGTATTAAGGTATTTCAATTACTATTTATTTTTGAGGTATACCTGTATATTCCTGAGAATGAATGTATGTGAAGTTCATTTATTCCCACTGCTATATAGGACTAGCTTGTATGAATATACAATTAATTTATTCTATTTCTGATAGTCATTTTGGCTCTTCCTGTATTTCACCATTAGCACTAATGCTACAGGAATTACCATATCCCCTGATACAAGTTTTCTGTAGGGAACTCTTTATTCTTTAATGGGTTAAGAATGCCTTTCAAGAGTTTCTATCGTGAATGAATGTTGAATGACACCTTAAAATTTTTTGGCATTTCTCAACATAATATTTTCTCTTCTTAATTTATTAATATGATAAATTACATTAATTTTATAATACTAGATAACACTTGTTTTCCTAGAACAAACCCAACTTGTTTATAAATTAATAAATTTAATTATGTTCTGCTTAGTGCATTGCATCTATGTGTACATAAGAACCCTGGCCTATAATTTTTCCTTTCTCATATTGTCTTTTTATGATAATTAGACTTTCCTCACAGAATAATTTTTGAGTATTCACCCTTCTTCTCATCTCTGGAATCATAAATGAGACGCTTCTTGAAGGCTTCCTGGAATTCATCTGTAATGCCATCAGAGCCTGTCATTCTCTCTGTTGGAAGATTATTTTTCAAACTACTGGTTAATTTTTTCTTTTTATTTCCTACTGGTTCATTATTAATAGTTATAGGACTATTTGGGTTTATTATATCTTGAGATGGTTTTAGTAAATCACATTGTTCCAAAAATTTATCCATTTTAAGTTTTCAAATTTCTTAATTGTATTATAAGATCTTTTGAATTTCTGCTCTTTCTATGCTATCATTCCTGATTGATTCCTAAGACTATGAGTTTTTCTTCCCCTCCCCCCCATTCATTCCCTATTTATCCCACAATATAATTGCTCTGTTCTGAAGATCAAATTTGGCTTTGCTGGTCCTCTCTTTTCCTGAAATACACCAATGGAAGTTACTTTGGTGATGATTTGTTGGTTGTTAAATGCATTCCATTTTTATCTGTCTGAAATATCTTTTTTTCTCTATTGTTATTGAAATATAATTTTACACAGAATTTGGAAAATATCATCATCCACTACCTCCTGGCTTTCTTTGTTGATGATGAGGGGCATGCTCATAGCCCAAGCATTTCCATCTGTTTTTTCTATCAGGTTACTTTAAAGATCTTCTCTTTGTCTTTGGTATTCTATAGTTCAGTGCAGTATGTCTAGATGTTGACTTTGTATTTATCCTGGCTGGTATTCAGTGAATTTCTTGAATCTACTGATTCATGCTTTGACCAGTTGTAGAAAAATCTCAGCTATTATATCTCTGACTACAATCACATAAAGACATCATTCTAACTTCTTACTGTGTCTTTTAATCTTATTTTATATCCTCTATTTCCTTACACCTATGTGCTACCTTATAAGGATTTCTTACAATGTCATTTGCATTTCACTAATTCTCTTTCCACTTTAACTAGCTCTTTAACCCATTTTCTCTGCTGTTGTATTTTTAAAATATACTTTTCATTTCCATTTGTTCTTGGCCCTTTTTCAAATTCAACTGATCATTATTGATAGTGTTAATACGGAGAACTTGCTCATTGTTTTCAAGATTATATTTTCTTAATAAATATCCCCTAGTTTCTGATATTTTGTATAAGTCCGTATCTATGGTTTGCTCTTTCTGTAGCTTTTATACATAATGGTGTGTTTAGTGACGGTTTCACACTACAAATTCATGTTTGACTGAACTTCATCTGCTAGGAGACTAGAATAAGAGTATGTTTTCCAGAGAAGATTTGGGTTTATTTCCACTAGGTGGCTAAGAAGAGCTACTTGTAACCATTTAAATTTCCTGGCCTGGAAATTCCTTCATCCTAGGGGTAATATAAAATTGAACCAATATCCTTGTGAGAACAGATCCATATTTACAAATTCCCAAAGGATTCCCTCCTCCCCTACTCTGAGCTTCAGCAAGGACTGACAGCTCATCTCGCAGGCTGCAGGTTTTTCCCAGCCCACCCTTTTACTGAGGGTATAAATTCTTGAGAGCATCTCCTATTCCCAATGAAACTGTTCATCACAAAGCTGTAGATTTCTGGTACTTTGATTTGCCCCTAAAGCAGCATAAGCTTCTATGTTTGACTCTGCTTTCTACCCTGGCTTCACCTACTCCTTTTATTCCCCTGCCCTTTAGAGATTGCTCTTGTTTTCTTGGGAGCTCAACAGCAAAATTAAAATGGTACATTTGTAAAAATGTTTCAGCATCTGTTTTATAAAGAGGGGGTTTTCAAAATGCCTAGTCTACCACACTCCTCAAAGCCAACAGCCCTTTTATTTATTCTTAATTGTTTTTCCTATTACAGACATTAATTATTCATCAAAATATATTACACCCAGTTATGTTAATTCAAGAGTTTACTGTACCTTTAGCAATGAAAAAAACAACACCACGTAATATAACATTACTGAGGAACCAGTTATAAAGGGATAGATTCACCATACCACTCTGCTTGGTTTCTGTCTTGCAGTGAGGTGCTCTGAGTACTAAGGTCTACACACCAGCCCAGAACAAGCATATATATGCCTCAGTTGAATCTAGTCGGCTAAATATGAGATATGCATGCTGAACAAACACACAAGAAAATGGAGGTAACACAGCTGTACTATTTTCAACACATATCCAACATACTCTGTAGGCACAAGGATAAATATCTCTGTCTTCTAGATATATAACTATATGCTGTTACAGTAGAACATGCAAATGGTAGGATTCAATAAGTGATAACTGTAGTAAATGTTTACATACAGCATATTAGTCAGTCAAGTAAAAATGTCTCTCATCCACAATGTGTTCAGACCACCTGCAGTTTAGATAGCATCTTAAAAAAGAAAACAAAAAACAAAAACAAAAAAAACCAGAACTCTATTAGCATATTCTAACCTACTCCCTTTCAGTGAATATATTAACTACTTTTCTTCAGCCAAATGAAAGAGAAGACCTTATGCTATAGAATGGTGTTTTCTGAATGGGCTCAAAGTGGTGAAAACTAAATTCAACACAAACTTTGGAAAGAGAGGCAAAAGCTGTATCAGCTGCCAAGATTTACACCAGATGAAGGAATAAAGATTATTTCCGCATGAAGTAAAATCAGAGTGGTGGCCTAGATGAAGAACTCAGGAAGATTCCTGGCTCCTGACTAAAACTTCATAGTCATTTTCTCCTTTTGGCTGGTAGGTTAAGAATCCCTAGACAAATCTGACAGAACTAAGTCAAGTGACCAAAGTTTACAATGCCAGAAATTAGACAAAGAGAATAAGGATTTCTCACTGACAGGATCCAGTGAGATCTCAACATCACTTCTGGGTAATTTCAGCACCAAATGTATAACTTGAATTCACCATGAGATAATTATCAGGGAAATGCAAATTAAAACCACAATGAGATATCACCTCACGCCAGTAAGGATAGCCACCATCCAAAAGACAAACAACAACAAATGTTGGCCAGGTTGTGGAGAAAGGGGAACCTCCTACACTACTGCTGGGAATGTAAATTAGTTCAACCACTGTGGAAAGCAACATGGAGGTTCCTCAAAAAACTAAAAATAGAAATACCATTTGACCTGGCAATTCCACTCCTAGGAATTTACCCTAAGAATGCAGGAGCCCAGTCTCAAAAAGACATGTGTACCCCTATGTTTATCACAGTACTATTTACAATAGCCAAGAAATGGAAACAACCTAAGTGCCCATCAGTAGATGAATGGATAAAGAAGATGTGGTACATATACACAGTAGAGTATTATTCAGCCATAAGAAGAAAACAAATCCTACCATTTGCAACAACATGGATGGAGCTAGAGGGTATTATGCTAGTGAAATAAACCAGGTGGAGAAAGACAAGTACCAAATGATTTCCCTCATATGTGGAGCATAAGAACAAAGCAAAAATTGAAGGAACAAAACAGCAGCAGACTCATAGAACCCAAGAATGGACTAACAGTTGCCAAAGGGAAAGGGACAGGGGAGGATGGGTGGGAAGGACGGGAGAAGGAGAATAAGGGGCATTATGATTAGCCCACATAATGTAGCGGGGGGCATGGGGAAGGCAGTAGAGCACAGAGAAGATACGTAGTGATTCTATAGCACCTTACTACACTGATGCACAGTGACTGTATTGGGGTATGTGGTGGGGACTTGATAATGGGGGGAATCTAGTAACCACAATGCTGCTCATGTAATTGTATATTACTGATACAAAAAAAAAATTCAGCATGAGAAAACATAAGATAAGCTTATGTTGAGGGACAGCCTAAAATATAACCAGCCTATCATCTTCAGAAAACTTTATTAAGGTCATGAAGGTGACAGGACTGAGGAACTAACTTTCAGGCTGAAGGCCACTAGAAAGACATGATAACCCCTGCAATGTGCAATCTGGGTTGGATTCTACTTAACCTAATGAATCCAGTCTATTGTCATTTGAACATGTAATTAATATAAGAAAAGTATTATTACCAAAATATTTTACATTTTTTCACACTGAGTCTGAAATCTAGGATGTATTTTATATTGATAGCACATCTCAAGGTAGATGTTAATTTTTCATCAGAAATACTTGATTCTATATTTAGATTTGGAATAATTTACAGTTGAAAAAAATCACATACCCCAGTTACTTCAAGCATACTTAATTTTTGAAAAAGGGAAGTTTTAAAATTTAACTAAAATGAAATAAAAAATTGAAGCTTAGCTTCCTAGTTGCACAAGCCACATAATAAGTGATCCACAGCCACATGTGGCTGGTGGCTACCCTATTGGACAACATGGGATGGGCAGGTCCACAGTTCATCTGTTCCTATGTATTTCTATGCATGCACACCATTCTCATATACATAGCCATATTATAGCTTTATGGGGAGCCATACACTCTTTTCTTTTTGTTGGCTTAAGCATAAAGATTTTAAATAAAGCATTGGTGCTATGCAAGTGAAGGGACCAGAGGTCTTGGCTCTGATTTTCCACCTCCAATCACAAACTCATCTCCCTTAAATCATACCTCTGAACTAGAGTATAGGTGAATAAATATGCAAGTACATAGCAGAATGTTACAAGGGAAAGTTTTCTACAACTGAAAAACACTAGATTCAGGTTGTTTTATTATTCAGGTTGTTTTATTATTAGAGGCCAGAATCAATGGATAGTAGACACTGCCATCAATGACTCTGTACTATTCAGTAAATTTGCTATTTTGACTTCTCCATAATGACAATAAAAGGATGCACTACTCTATTCCAACTAATCCTCACACATCTGCTCTTAAGAATAAATTAGAAAGTATCTGCAAAATGCTATGCTCTCCTGAGAGAAAAGTGTTGCCAGTGAATTTATATGGATAACTGTTGCCAAGTGCTAGAATTATGTTTTATTTTCTTAGTGATGACTTCATGTATTTCCAAATTTTCTACAAAACAATGCATTATTTTTATAATCAGAAAAAACCCTTTTTCTAATATTAAAAAATAATCTCTGGAGAGACAAAAATACTCATTTTCTTATAAAAGTTTAAAACACTTTTTTCAAGCTTCATACTAATTATTCATCATTTTGGATTATTTGTCCATTACATTCATTCTTACATCAACTGTAATAAAGAAGCTCATTATAAACTAGGACTTCATGTCTCCATAATATTTATACCTAGAGTTAGGAATAAATTATGGGCTTTCCTCAGTATGGTTAAAATCCTCACAAAACATCACATGGGAAACAGTATAAGGGTTAAAAGTCTTGATTTTTAAAAAATAATTTAGACAGCTAGAATTTTATTACTAGTTACTACTTACTGACTATGTAATGTCCAAGTTATTTAATTGTACATGATTGTTTCTCAATCTGGGGAAAGGAGAATAGAAGCTACATTACAGGGAAATTGCAAGAACTGAAAGAAACAAAGTAATATACTTTAAAACGTTCTTTTGATATATATAGTGCAAATGCTGAAAACAGGAATAGTTGTTATGTTTACTAATATGACTACTTTAATAATGATAGTGATTTTGGGAGACATGAGTTAAAACAATATAATTTACCTGGGGAAAATTGTTTATAACAGCGTTTTAAATAGTTAATTTTCAACTCCAATAACTAACTGCCATATCAAGATAAAATATAGCAGTATCTCAGTGTCTAAATTTATTTTCTAAAATAGCTCTTATAATACACAAAATAACTGAGATCAGCATTACCTTATCAAGTACCGCATATGGATTCTCTGCATTAAAACCAAAAGGTGCAGAGAGTCTGAATCTCTCTCTGAACTCGGCCTGCTTCCGCTAATCAGGGCAGAAAAAATTGAAAATGAATCTCAAACAAATAGCTTCAGTTGTCTTTGTAAAAGCTTTCTTTAAAAAAAAAAAGCCAAACAGAAAAATGGGTAGCTAACTTACGTCAAACAAAATACATTTTTTTCTTATAAGAGTGACTTCAGCATTTTGGAGAGGGGAAACTTCATGTCTGACAGTCACTGCAATCTTTTTGGTAGTTTCCCATCTTTCAGGTAATTCCTGCAAAAACAAAGGTGCAAATGAGAAATTACTGCAAAGCAATGCCATAGGATTAAGTTAATTCTAATTAATTAAGGATTAATTCTAACCACTTTGCACCAGCCCATGACATCTTTTTATCTAATATACGAGAAAGAATTTATCCCAAAAAAGATTAAAGTGACTAACAGGTTTAGAGCCTGGCTGACCTACTCTTACCTCTGGGTGTGGATCTTCTCAGCATAAGCCAGAGTTGCCCTCTGGTACAAGACTTATCTCAGAATAAATGAAAACTTTTTCAAAGTAAATACAAGTTTTCAAATTGTCTGACTGTGGGAGTGGAAATTAAAGTGCTCTGGAAATGACTTTTCTGATCTCTAACATGGAGAAATGGAGAAATAGAAATGCTAGAAATGGAGTCAATGGTTAGAAATTCAACAGATGAAAAGATGTTTTGAATGTGGTAGAGCAGAGACGAAAATGTCAGTCAGTCTCACCCCGTTTTCCCCTAGCCCCTGAAGCTCTGTGTGTACTCTGTCTTGATGGAGAGTTTGAGCACTTAGGTTAGGTCAATTTTCTATGCCTAGGATTTCTGAAGTAGAAGAGGCAAATGGAAGGGAAGGTTATTTCCTCTCACTTGTTGTAAGACAAAAGAAGCAATATACAGTTCAGGTAGCAGCTCGATCTGCTCTCTCTGACTGCAGGGCACACAGGACAACAGCAGGCTATTTTCTTTGAGGAACAATGAGCATAACAGCTTTTGAAAAGCACTCCTTGCATTCAGACTAACAAAGCATTGCTTCTCTGGTCATCTCCTGGGACACTGAAATTGTTTTGTCATAGAAAGCTACCCACAGTGGTGGGACTCTACTTGTGTAGCTGAAGCACAAAAACCAAAGGTTCTCAAGCCTATTTTGTAACCCTTGATAAATACTTGATGAATGATTCAGTAACTGTCAATCATGAAGAATGTACTGCACTAAGCAGAAATTTTACGTGTGGGGTGAAGGGTGCTGCAAAAACACATTCTTTGACTTACACTATTTTATCTTCTGTCTGAGTGAATGAGTAACTATTTTGTGTGACAGGATGTGTTAACTTCCAGCAGGAGGTCTGTGAATTATGGAATTAAAACACTTGGGAGGCAAGTGTTGTGTCAGGCTAGGAAGCAAGAGACCTGGGCTCTAAACCTACTTGTGCTTCATATCGTTCTTGCATCCTTCTTCTCATTGAAACTCTGCATCCTCATCTGTACAGAATCTCACTTTGCATTTCCAAATGATCGCATGGAACGTAAGTATCCCATGGAGTCCCTGCAGGGGCCATGGGTCACATTAGTGAGCTCAGACCCCTCAACCCTCTTTGACTACACTAGACCTGCTTTTACCTGCTTTATACCAATCTACTTTGGAGATTCCAAATAAGCTTCCACTTGATAAAAATGGATTTTCATTGCAAACCAAAAGATCAGATGATTTCCAAAGTGTAACTGATACAATCCATTCAAAGAAGCAACACTGAACCTGAGGCTGGAAGGAATGACTGGGTTTCAACAGGCAGACTGGTAGATCCCGAGAGCCTGAAAGGTAAGATTCCCTGGGCAGGATGAAGTGAGTTCTTATAGAAACTAGACAGTATTGAGAGGCTGGGCTGTCAAGGGAGGTGTCTTAGCAAGGAAGGGACTGGATAAAGTCTGCAGATTATAAATTTAATCTAGCTTCACAGTCTATTGTAGATGGGGGTTGTGAAGACACAATCACATCTTTAAAGGTTGACACAACCAAGCGTAGTCAAGTATTTGGAAAATGTGCCTAATAATGATTATGAAGGAGAAACAAAAACTTAAATTGCTTAAAGTAATCAAATTGTTTAAATTAAAATGAAATCAGGGTACTGTTATCCTCCACATGTAACTTGTACTGCCTATGAATCTTATTTCCCTTCCAAACCAGCCTGAATTACTGTCACATAAGCACACACATAGCTAATAGGGTGGCTCACCTTAAAAATACTATAAAGCCTAATACTTTCAATACTTCATTAACCTTAAGTAGTGAGCCAAATTTTTATAATACTAACTCTGGAGGCCAGGAGTAAACTCCCCCACATCAAATACTTGTTTATGATTGGTTTTTCTATGATATACTTTAAGGTCCAAGATCTGACTCAAAGAATATCCAAATCTTTCTAAAAACAGATATTCATAGTATATTCCACTGTAACTATTTCATCTCTTACTCTTATTATGTATCTGTTTCTCCACATCTTACCTCAGTCCATGTCTAACTGGATTTTCAATTGTAAGGATAGTTTTACACTTAAATAGAATGTAATAATTCATGTTTATTAGTACTATATAACTTAATAGTCAAAAGAGTACTTGTAAATGCATTGTGGCATTTAATTCTCACAAAACAAAATGAGAGATATAAAATGGAGCAGCTGTGTGAAGAAACCATTTGGTAGTTCTTCCAAGAGTTAAACTTAGAATTACCACATGACCTAGCAGTTCCAGTCCTAAGTATATGCCCCAAAGAACTGAAAACAGGGCCTCAAACAAGTACATGTGCACTGAGGTTCCCAGCAGCACTATTCACAAAAGCCCCAAGATGGAAACAATCCAGAAGGCTGTCAATGGATGAGAGATGCTCAAGTTACAGTGTATACACACAGTGGAATGTTATTCAGCCATAAAAAGGAATGGAGTAGTGATATATGCTACAATATGATCGAACCTCAAAAAATATTATGCCAAGGGAAAGAAGCCAGACAAAATGTCACATATTGTGTAACTCCATTTACATGCAGGATCTGGAATAAGTAAACCCACAGAGACAGCCAATGATTGGTGGAAGCCCAGGCTTGGTGGTGAGGGTGGTTGACAGCTGCTGGGAATGGAGTTCCTTTTTGGGGTGAGGAAAATGTTTTGAAACTAGATGGAAGTGGTGGTAACACAACACTGTGAATGTACAAAAGGCCACTCACCTTGAAATGGTTGCCTTTATGTTATGTGAACTGTAAATTTTACCTCAAGAAAAAGGAAAAGAACAGAAAGTGGGATATTGGAGACAGCATAGACAAATCTTAAAAATGAGGTATCTGGAGGAATCTTTTCGTGAAGATAAAGCATTGCTCTGAGGCAAGCAGATGAGATGGACTCATACAGTACTTGGGAACAAATCTAAATTTGAGTTCCACGCTCTAATGACTGAAATAGAATTCAATCCATTTTTTAGTTAATGTGTCTACGGATCACATTTGCAAGGTTAAAAGTAAGCCCATCCTGGAAGTTGCTGGATGATGTAAATCTACTGAGGCATGGAATAGAGTCTCAACTGTGAAATCTGCATTCATGGTTTCAGTTATAACTAAGAGGACTTTGTTCATCATTTGGCACATGGCAGCCACCAAGTTCTCTCAGTGCATGAAAATTGGAGGATGACAGAAATCCTGTTTAGGAGACACAGTGATTTCTCCATCCAAATTGGGCTTTATTTAGTCTTTATTAACATGTCCATGATGTGTCCAAAGACTAGGATACTTTTCAACTGGCAGGCAGTTTTAAAAGAAAAATAGCTGGGATATAGTTCATGTGTGAAAGTGACAGTAAAAGTGAAAAAAGCTCAGGCTCTCATCACCTAAATGCCTTGAGAGACAACGACACTGGGGCACAGCAGCTTCAGAGTGAGTGTTGTCGCATGAAACACACCTAGATTCGTGTTCTTTCTTTCTCCATGTGGACTCTCCAGCAGTCTCTAACAGTATGAAAACAGAGGTTTCCATACATCTGAAGGCCCAAGTTCAGAATGAGCATAACCTCAGTTTAACTACATATATTGTTCAAAGCAAGTCACAAATTCAGCTTAAAATTCAAAGGAAGTGGGGGTAAACTCAGCCTTTGATGGAAGAAATGTCATGTGTCAGTTTGATGGGCATGCTTGCACATGATCTGTTATAAGAGAATTGATGGGAGTTTTACCAGGAGGGAAAAGGCTACATAGTGTTACATCAACAAACATAGGTAAATAAATACACCTAAATGAGCACTGTTCCTTTTAAGGTAGTTGATTTGGATGCAGTACTTTGAATGTTAGTTACTATTTGTGTGTTGAAAAAGTTATTAAATCTCTTTAAGTTTCAGATTTCTAGCCTGTAAAATGAAAGCATTAATATCTACAGTGTAGGTTATTATGAGGGTGTAGAAGAAATGTATGTAAAGAATTGGGCAAAAGGAAATGAGCAATTTATGGTAATCATGATTATTTTACTACTACTCTTACCTCTAGCTGAATATAGACTTGCTCAGGCATCTTCTGGCCATAGGTTTCCAAGAGTGTGATGGTTTCTTTCAGTGGTTCAAAGAGTTCATCAGTAGCTCTCTGTCGGCTTCTTACAGCCAGAAGATGCCCCATGATTTCAACTAACCCATCATGATCACCTTCATTTAACTCTCTCTGAAGACCGGCATCGGTCTCCTTTATAAATTCTTGTAGCTCACTCAGACTATTAAATACATACACACAAACACAAATTAAGTTCATTAAAACATTTAGAAGTATAAGACTTCTAACTGAATCTTACTTTCATTATTTACCTAAGATAACACTACTTATCTTTATTATAAACAGGCAGTTTCAATGCTCTTTGAAATACTTCAATTTTAGAAAGCAATCAGATGTTAAAAGTCATAATTGCAAATATCAAAGCACTAAGGGCTACCTGTCAATGACAAATCTCAAAAGGTGCTCCTGAAACATCCAGCTCCATTTCTTAATAATGTTTAGCAAGCTCAGTTTGAAAGGCTTCATGTCCACCTTGAGCCAACTATCAAACACTCGGAAGTCATCAAACTTGCTCATTTGAACGTATAAAGCCTCGTAAGTGTCAATCTATAATGAGAACAAAATTTATAACAACTCAATTAAAAACCAATAACTATATCAAATGCTAAGGGTTTTCCTTGCCTGTTCTTTGAATTGTTCAAGAGTTGGTGGTTGTTCAGGGGCATCTTCATTTACACGAGCATCCGTTTCCTCAGAGGACACAGTATGGCCACACAGGAGAAAATGCTTCATGAACTCAGCTCGGTCATCCACCCAGAAATAAGAGTGTGCGTCCAGGGTATTTCTGAAGTCCAAGACTTTGCTGATGACATCTGCCACTCTCTTCATAATCTCCTGCCTGACCTCTACCAGGCCTAACATGTTATCCATATCATTCTAAATGAGAAGAAAACCAAGCATTTATTAAAACTAACCTTGCTCTATCAATTATATGCAACACAACATTATCACACAGCAATTCCTCAAAAGGAAAGTACGGTAAAATAAAAAATTGTGATGCCTTTTCTAAATTCTACTTTCCTTGTGCTCTCCATTACGCCAATTTATTTTTGAATCTTTAAAGACTAATATCCATTTACAAAGAAAATACCTGATAATTTGCAATTTCCAGATGTGCTGCTACTCGCTTCATCTGGGCAGACATTCTAAAACTACTGCAGAGCATTTCTTCCACCAGATCATAGAAACCATCACCAGCTTCTCTTTCTAAAGAAGGTTTAAACACAATCTCAGGGGGCATTAAGATCATTTGTACTTGAAAAAATGGTGCAGATTTCAACTGTTTCTCCGTATTCATCAGGAAGAAGTCTAAGTCGTGCATTATAGCCTGAAAAAAGCCTTCCACCACGATGTCATCAATGAATTCTACATAAATCTTCCAGGTCTCCAGAGAAGGACTGGCTCTGAAGAGCTTCCTATTCTCCTGGAAACATACAAGTATTAATAGATGAGTATAAACAGTAATGAGTATAAAAATGAAAGTGCTCCATTTAAATGGATTGTTAAAGAAGGAATGCATTTTAGTGGATCGCACAGGAGCATTCAAATGCTAGCTTGCAGAACCTTGAGCTCAATGGTACAGATGTCAGCAGGATTTTGTTAACAATTAGTTCATTTACAAAATACATTCATAAGTCGCCCTTTAAAGGAAAATCATCATGAAGATGGCTACTTCATATACAAACAAGATACACATTAGTTCCCAATGCATTCCAGACGTACCAGACCGGCCTTCTAATTCTTCACATAACTCTATGTGGCGGCTTTGCCTTCCAGGACCTTACTTATAAATGACATTTCCCAAACCAGCCCTACAGAGAACGCTGTTCTGGGCTATCCAAAGATCATTAAGTCAGCAAAGTGCTATGTCTCAAGGCCATTCTTGGAGACACACAGTGTATCTATTATATTGAAGTCCACTTAACTTGGTTTAACCCAGTAGTTTCCAAACACAAAGAATACTTTTTGCAAACCACCTGCAAGCAGCCAAGTGAACAGTAGATGAAAAGTATACTTTTTCATCCCAAGGGATCCAGTTTATATCACTTGCACACAGAGATGAATCTAGCTCCTGATAAAGAGCTTAGGAAACACTTGCCTGGTGAAGTCTAAGCTCCCTTTGTGCTTCAATAATGTGAAGTTCTACCTCAGCATCTCCTAAAAGTGTGGGTGAAGCAATGGACAGGTCAGAGGAGAATGGCAGAGCCAGTGATGGAAGTGGTTAAGGACTGTGGTTAGAGGTTGGGCACACAGTGTGGCAGGCCTAGAGACATAGATTTGAAAAGGTCAGGTGGGCAGCAGGGTTTATTCCAGAGATACCTCTGAGTGGCAAAGGTTATATAGTCTATGCAGGCCAGAGGGCAGATGCCCAAGGTAGAAACCGTGGTACAGAGAAAAGGAGACACTGGAATGAGAGCTGATTATAAGATAGACTTTATCTGCTACTATGGATATATAATCCAGGATTCAAAGTGTGTGCTACATGCAAGAATCAGAACTACAGAGGTGGTCTAGCTCCTGGTAAAGCAGAGCACAAATGAACAAGTTCTTTGTTTTAGGGGTTTCTTGCCCTCAAACAACTTTAAGAACTGCTCCTTTTAGAGATGCTGCCTTACCCACCATCCAGGTGGAACTATTTATACCTTTGTAGTTTATGTGGCCTGTACCCCTGGGATTGTACAGTACACATACTGGGCAACTGTATGCAGCAGTCTTGGCTCCTTTGTAGGCACTAGCAAGAAATATATTTCTTAGAACTGGAAAAAAAAAATCTTTAATGATCATCTTGTTCAGTCTCATTTAAAAAACAAAGACCAAAAGTACATCTGGTGTCATATTTGTAGGAAATTAGCAGCTGAGCTAGGAATAGAAACCAGCCTTGTTGGCTGCCCTGTATAGAGTTCTTTCCAACACATCATAGTATTGTACCTGTAATTGCCTCATGGTTTATACTTTTTCATCCCAAGAGATCCAGTCTATATCACTGTAGTGTTATTTATAAGAATTGCTGTATTTTAAGCAATTTAGGGTAAGGGGAGAAAAAGAAGAGAAAAGAGAGCTTGGGGTCACTCAATGATTGCCCAGGCTGCATCCAGACCCAGTCTTCATGGTCCGCCCTCCTCTCTCCCTCTGCTGCTCTGACTGCGGACTCCGCCCTGAGATCCCACAGCCACAAAGGCTGCATGCAGCATAAACAGGTGAAACGGACACACCCACTGTCGTATTTCTACAGCTTTCCCAAACCACATTCCTCGGTGGAAGTCTGAGAACCAGGTTCAAAATCATGTGCTGCTAAGAGGGGGGAAAAATCACTTAAAATTTGCAACTTATAGAAACAACTAATCGTTTCATCTCTGTTTTGAAGTTGAGTTCCCTTAAATTGTAAGTCTTCCCCAGGTCTCATTCTAAGAATAGTGACGGAAAAGCTTTTTGTTTTTGACTTAAAGGAAAAAAAAAATCTATTAATTAGTATAAAAATTTCAATCTCTCTCTCTGCAAAACCTTGTTTTGTAGCAATTTCTAGCCATATATTGGCAATATTTTCAATGCATCTTAATCAGGATTCATAAATCTTACTGGTCTAAACCCCCCAGATTAGGGTTTAGGAAATATGTATTTTTTAGTACTTAGAAAATGTAACAGAAGAAACTAATTGTAATCCATCATCTGTTCTCTGTGAGACAGATTCTAATGCCTAAACAATTGTAAGGCATCCTAAAAGTCACAGAAAAATTCACAGCGTATCAGTGAACAAGTAGGAATAGTCAATGGCATGCCTAAGTTAAGATACTGCTTAGAAAAAAATTCTAGACATCGTGGAACCCCCGCTGCGATTCCCTCAAGACTACCCAGGCTTTAGGTTGAGCCTTCAAAGGGAGTATGGCTCTGTCCACCCTGATTTCACAGTTCAAGCTCTGGACTGTAAGAGAATAAATTTCTGCTGTTTAAAGACCTGCCTGTGGTACTCTGTTACAGCAGTCCTAGGCTGCTAAAACAGGCAGGAGTCACAGAAGGCAGGGACAAAGTCTTTGTCCTAGCAAATTGGTATCAGCAGAGAAAATTAAAATGTTCTTAAAAATTTTAAACAACCTTGGAAGTCAACTGAAACTTTGAAATCCATATTAATTTTCTTGTTTTTTTTAAATTTTTGCCACACATACTCAATACATCATATCAAGTGTACCACACCTTTCTTTTTGGTAAGCAAGCTCCTTACCCTTCACATGCTTTCTTTACTCAGCATCCAGGATTCCACTGCTTCCATGGTTTTCCTCCTGTGTCAGCTGCTCCTCTCCCCTCTACCTGGTTCTCTGCCTTCTGCCCAGCTTCTGAAGGGTGGTGTGCCCCAGAGAACAGTCCTTGATTTGTTTTCACTCTAGCTGCACTCATTTTTCTCTTCCAGTGTTTGAAAGTCTTCTAAGTGAAATACACTGAATACTTTGCAGATACTGTCTGTGTGTGTGTGTTTCTGTGTGTGGTCTGTCTGCCCTGCCCAAAGGAGAGAGACTGTGGTCTGAGGACTGCATCTCTCTACAGAGAAGATTCCAACCACATAACCAGGATGTTCAGAAGGAAGTACAGAATATGCTACTTAATTCCTGTCCTTTTTCCCTCAAGAAGACAGATGCAATGAGAAATGAGCTTCCCAAGGCCCCCATCACCAGCGCTGCTCACCCATGAGCACCATGCCCCTCTCCTTTGCCTTCTCTCCCGCTTGCTAATCCAGATGAACACTCCATGCTCTTACCTAAAGCCAGCTGCCACATGTATTCCATATAAATACTATTTCTTCAAGAACTTTCCTCCAACAACTTTTTCCTCTCTACTAGATCATTCCAAATAATACATAATCATTATCCTGAAACATTAGCCATATTAAAAATAAGATCCTCCCGATCCCTGACAAATGCACCGAGGTCCTGCCCAGTTTTTAGTGCCACCACATCAGAACTCCTCAGGAATGTATTGGTGTTCTTGTGCCATTTCTCCTGTGCCCTTGGCAGCCCACTCCGAGCAGGCTTCCTCCATCAAGTGAGCTCCTGTCACAGTCACCAATGACTTCCATGCTGCCATATCTGATGGTCAATCTCTGGCCTTGTTTTGAAGATGGGACAGAATTAAAATCTTCCTCCTCCTTGAAATCCTTCTTGATGTGGCTTCCAGGCCATCATACCCCTTGATTTCCTTCTACTCCACTGGCCTCCTTTACAGTATCCTGTGCTAGATCCTCCTCATCTCTCTGGCCCCAGGGATGACTTCAAGGCCAGTCCTTGGACCTTTTCTCTATTTACAATTAATTCCTACATGATCTCATCTAAAGCCATGGCTCTATATATGATATACATGCTTCCAACGCTCAATTCTGCATCACTTGTCTGGACTTCTACTCTGAACTCTGGACTCACAGTTGTAATGCCAGCCTACTCAGAATCTCCCCTGGGGCAGATATCTCTCACAAACATGCCCCAAACCAAATCCTGTGTTTTCCTACAAAATTTGTTTCCCCACAGTCTTGCTTTTTTCAGGAAAGGGAAACTCAAATCTTCCAGATGCTCAAACCAAAACCTTAAAGTCATCCTTGACTTCTCTCCCCTGACTCAGTACAGCAAATGTGTTGGTCCTACCTTGAAAATACATCTATCACAGACTGCTTCTATCATTACCATCCTGACCCAGCCATTATCACCTGGATTATTAAAATAAATCTTTTAATGGTCTCACTGCTACCATCTCCTTGCTTCCCTGTAGATTCTGCTCAAAAGGGAAAACCTTAGAGCAGAGAGTCTCTGGCTATTTCCCCTCAGAGCAAAAGCCAAAGTTCCTATAATAGCCTGAAGATCTCATGTGATATCCCCACAGTACCTTTCAAACTTCATCCCCTACCACTCTTCCCTTGCCAATTCTGCTTCAGGCATGCTGGGCTCTCTAACTGATCCTTAAGCAGGGCAACCATGCTCCTACCACAAAGCTTTACACTTTTTGCTACCTAGAACACGCTTTTCCTGATATCCACAAGGCTCATTCCCTTTCCCTTTCAATTCTTTGCATAAACACAACTTCAGTAAAGAGGCCTTTCTAACTCACTTCATATAAAAATAGACCCCCACATACATACCAATTTCCTGTTCCCTCTGCTCTGCTGTGTTTTTCACCATTGCTCCTTTGACCAATTGACATATTATGTATTTGTTATTTTCTCTATCTTCCCTGACTAGAATGTAAGATCCAAGAGAAAGGGGACTTTTTGATGTTTTTTGTTTGTTTTTATTTTCCTGTCTTAAGTTTTATTTTATTTTCTGTCTTAAAGTTGACAACCCTAGAATAGTGCTGTTACTGTTTTTAAAAACTCAAGCATTAGTTAAAAGGAGACCAACTCCTGCTGCCATCCTTAGGAGAAGGCTGAGAGAGTTACATGAGAGGATGTAAAAAAGATAACTGGCTCATCTAGGCATTCAACAAACACCCGTAGTTATTAATAACATTGGAAAGAGGATATAAGCATGACAAAGATTAGGATCTCATCTCTAGCCTTTCAAAATTGTTCCATCAAATATCTCATATTCCAATCTCTTCCCTCAGGAATATGGAGAGTGAGGGCTACAGAATTTATAGGCAAGTAACAAATTCCTCCATTTTAAATATTTAACAAAACCATATATTAAGCTCTTTCAGGCCCAATAAGAGAGTCCTGCATTATTACGTTAAATATTTCTGCTCTTTTCTAACCTAAAAGAAGAGATCTATAAAATTTCAAGACCTTGAAAACAATTACCTCTACCAAGTTGTGTATCTTGTAGCCATCTTCTTGAATTAGCCTGTATTTTCTAGCGAACAGATCACTCCTGTCCTCCAGAGTAAAGGCAGTCTCCCTCCTGTGCTCTCTCCTGGGAAGGAGCGTACACTCAGCCCAGGCCTGCATCATTTGCTGGATGACTTTAACATTGCTCTGCGTGCACTCCACTCTGTGCTCCAACTCAGAGGTGGCTGTCCTCACCCTCTCGATGTATCCCCAGCAGTCATCCTGCCATGTCAGTGATGTTGCGGCTGCTTGTAGCTGCTCATCCATGGCTCTCAGCTCATCTTTAACCAGAGGGTATTCAACTTCCAGAAGAGTCTGCTTCAGCTTATTATATCCTTGCACAAGAAGTTCAAGATTTCTGTTGTACTGAGCAAAGAAAAATACCAAAACAGAAAGTGCCTAATGTATTAAAGCTACTTTCTCTACCTTAGAGACATAAAAGTATCATAGCATTAACATGTTAATTATTAAAATATAGAATAATTCTATTCAAAATATGCCCTAATATCTAAAAACAAACCTTTAAAATAGTGTTTCTTTTTTTGAAAATGGCTAAGGCTGAATCTGGCACATCTGATTTCTTTAACATCAAAAGGTATTTCACTTCTCTCAATACAGCCACTAGCTATTAAAAGAAAATAAAGAATTATTACATATTTTAATAATATCATTCTCTTCTAACATAGGTTAAAATCAAAACACTTAAAATTTCACCCAATGATTATTACAAATTGTCAAAGAGGATTTTATTTCTTAAGCTTTTTAAAGGCAACAATTAGACATTCCATCCGATGTAGAAGTATAAATTATAAAGGTATAAATCACTGACTATGGCCACTGTCAAAGAGAAAGAATTCAAGCAAAAGACAGTAACATATGCACAAGATCTGAAATGCAAGTCCATAAGTGGGTCTTGGTCTCTTCCCAGTTCTGTTGATTGTGCGATAATTTTTGAAAACAAAAATTTGTTCCAACATGATTGATCAACTAGGGAGCAATGTGAGTGTACCACAGATTTTGTCTTTACTTATCTGAAACTTCATCAGCAAGAAACACTAGGTAAATGCTAAAAATTTCCCCCAATTGAACTGACAGTCTTGGGAATAAGAAAAATGCTCATGTGCATACACCTCAAACATCCACCAGGTACTTCAGCTCACAGGTGTGTGATAATCCCCGCCCACCCACTTCTGGTGGTACTTCCTGCCTGGTTTCAGGGAACCCTCCTCTACCACTCACAGAAGCTCACAATTCACAACCCTTCCAACACCCACGTCAATGAGCAAACTTCAGTTCTTTAAGGGAAATCGTCATATTTTCTGTAGTATTTATGTATTACTTAACCATTTAAAATGTATAAAACTATGCCGCTGTTCTTCCTAGGTTCCTATCTGGAAAAGTTTTTGAGTACTGTACCCCTGCCCCCAATTTTCCACATAAACCCTATGTTTTTTTAAAAATTGTATTATTATTATTATTATTTTTATTATTTGGTATCATTAATCTACAATTACATGAAGAACATTATGGTTACTAGACTCCCCCCATCATCAAGTCCCCCCCACAAACCCCATTACAGTAACTGTCCATCAGTGTAGTAAGTGCTGTAAAATCACGACTTGTCTTCTCTGTGTTGCACAGCCCTCCCCATGCCCCCACCCACCACATTATACATGCTAATCGTAATGCCCCCTTTCTTTTTCCCCACCCTTATCCCTTCCTTCCCACCCATCCTCCCCAGTCCCTTTTCCTTTGGTAACTGTTAGCCCATTCTTGGGTTCTGTGATTCTGCTGCTGTTTTGTTTCTTCATTTTTTTTTTGTTCTTATACTCCACATATGAGTGAAATCATTTGATACTTGTCTTTCTCTGCTTGGTTTATTTCACTGAGCATAACACCCTCTAGCTCCATCCATGTTGTTGCAAATGGTAGGATTTGTTTTCTTCTGATGGCTGAATAATATTCCATTGTGTATATGTACCACATCTTCTTTATCCATTCATCTACTGATGGACACTTAGGTTGCTTCCATTTCTTGGCTATTGTGTGATATTTCATAAAGTAGCAATTTTTAGAAATGTATGTGTCATGCTGTAGAACTGAGTGTACCCCTAAATACAGGTTTTGAGGAAAAATCTATGCAACATGCTTAAAAAGGTAAACCAGTTGTCTTCCTTAACTTGTTACTCCATGGATTAACTAGTTCAGTATGTTTTGTATTTATAATCCCTTCAGGTAGAATCATAGGAATTATCCCTAAAATATCTCAGAAGTTTAGTTTCTGTAAGTCACTTTGATGAATTAGAATCTTCAGTTTTCTAGGTCATATATTTGTATATGTGTGCTGAGGTTTACAAACCAGGTTAAGTGATGCTATTTTGTAATATTTTAAGGGAACAGATCAGAACTTGGGTGCAGATTACGGCAAACTCAGTGAGGGTAACTTTCCCCCTTCTGAGGCATACACTCAGACTGCCATGAAAAAAAGGGCAATCACGGAAAACAAATATATGATCTTCACTACTAAAAATTCACCCCGATGTTTACTATTTTTATTTTGTAATGGTACCTTACAAATAGCTATTCTTCTAGATATTCTTCCTGTAAAGCATATTTCTGTAGGTAAATAAAAAAGAAAGCTTTTGTGCCACCTACCAAGCTCTCAGACTTGAAGACAGGTTGTTTAAATATATTTATACCTACATATATATCATATTTATCATACATATGCACATGTAGTACTCCCTACATAAATATACACATATACATATATATAATTACTATTCAAGTTTCTGTAGTTTATTACATAATATAATCAAGCCAGAAAATATCTGATAAAAGAGTAATGATTCTATTCAACTAACACTTATTAATTATTGCCAAGTGTCAGACACTATGCTATAAATACAGAACACAAAGATAAAATGTAAGGACCCTACTCTCAAGTAACCCATTATCCAGGAAAGGTGGGAATGGTAAAAAAATAGTTATGAGGCAAAAAAATGAAGAATAATTGATATAGGATTTGGAAAACAAATCTCCAAAACAAAGACCTACTTTCCAGTTATATTCTTCATAGCACTGATGTTTTCCCAAAATAAAATATAAATGACTGGAAGCATCAGGAATATATTATAATAACAGCATCTATAATATATTTTAAAAACATCAAACCCCTACCTTTGGATCAAAGTTGACACTGAGAAGACCATTTATGGCATTGAACTTAACCAAAGGTTGATTCAAATTGAATTCACAGATTTCATCCACGTTACTTTTCCATTCATTATAGATACGATTTTCAAATTGGTCTAGCAAAGTTGTCATTTCAATATACTTCTGATAAACTAAAGCATCATCAGGACTTTCCAAGAATCTGCAGAAATATGATTTTTCTACTTGTCTATATATCAGATTTCAGCTTAACTACTTTGCAATAATATAATACTCAATAGAAAATATAAAACCATAAGAGAAATAAAAAAGGCCAAATAATTTTTCTAGTTTTCTATATATTTCAGCTTAACTACTTTGCAATAATATAATATTCAATATAAAATATAAAACCATAAGGGAAGAGAAATAATAAAGGCCAAATGATGCTTTCAAATTGTCTTTGCCATAGAAGATACAGTGAGGAAATGAATGGAACTCCAAAGATTTTACTAAATGCCAATAGCAAAGAGTTACCAGTTCCTACAAAGAAGAGAAAGGTAGAGAAGGCCTGTGAAATAAAAGGAATGCTAGTTATTGGAGCAAGGAGAAATAGTAATAAAAAACTAAACATATTGTGAATAAAAGGAAGAGAGAAAAGGACCTGTAAACATGGAAATATATGAAGTTATGAGTCCAGTTAAGCATATTTAATGAATATAGTTCATTCAATGAACTGAATGAACTGAGTTCAGTCAATGAAGAGTTACATAAGGCAATGACTCTTTACATGCCAAAATGCACAGCTCACTCCACTATATAAAAACTGCCTGTATCATTAAAATAACTGTACCATGAAATTAGCCTAAGTACTTACAGATACTGTAGAGATGCAAAGTTTGACCAAAATGTTTGAAGTCGTTCAAGGATCTCTTTAGCCCATTTAATATTTCCTGAGGTAAATGGCATATTCTTGTTAACAACTACATTTCCATGTTCAATCTGCAAATTGATATTTTGGTGAAAAGGAAGGAAGGGAACATTCAGTCAATGTGCATTCCATCCTTATAAGCAATTGTTCATTTTGGTACTTTTATAGTACAAATATATAAAATATATGAGTTAAGTAATTTCATCAGTAGAGTTATTTCTAAAGCATGTTCTTCCTCTCTATAAGGAAACCAATTAAATAACAGCATAAAAGTTCTAGTGCCTAGATCTAAACTTTAGATATCATCAAATACAGTTCTACTGATGGCCATTATTCACAAAAATGATGCTCTCGGTGTGTTCAACTTAAAATCCCTCACTTACCTGTTTCATGTGTTCATTATATAAGTGTTGACACATATCCAAGTCTGCATTAAACATGTGCACTAGTGTGCTATAATGTGGGCTGAACATTTCCATGACAACTGGTTTCTCCAGAAAATTCCCAGATATGGTCAAAAGCTATAAAAATAAAAGTAAAAGAAATGTAAGAACCACAGGTTTTTAATACAAAGCTATTTTCTCCATTAAACTTCTTACATGTCTAGAGGTAGAGCAAAAATCAAGAAACTACAAGTATCCTGTAATACCTCCAAATCTAAAACATATTTTTCCAATAAAGCAAGTTCTCCATGTAGTTTTCCTTCCTCAGTGGAAAATGAAATCAGTAATCCCTGCTCACACATTCCACTGCCTCTTCCTGCTGGGCACCAGGAAAAGTTTTAGAAGATGCTTTGTGGGTATAAAGCAGAAGCAAAATTTATATATCCTTTATTTGTTCTTCCCTCCTACATGTGTCCTCTTTAGATATAAGAATATCCACAATGAGAACCTCTAGGTCACACCATCAATAGTTATCCTGATGCACCAGCCACAGCAGCTATCCTGCCTAGGGCAGCCCAGGTCCAGGCCACACCGTCCAGCCACCCCCAGCACGGCAGCCTGAGATAGCAACAGTGACTGTTCCAAGCACAGGCTCTCTGCAGCAGACAGTCCCTGTGACATGAGTGTCATGGCTCATAGTAATGCCTTGAGCTAACTACAGTCTCTCTCAGAAGAGAAACAGGGCATGGCAGGCTGAACCTATACCAGCCAAATTAGGAGTGAACCGAAACTACTAGCAAGCAGAGGAAGCCAAAGAGTAGCGAGACAGAAAAAAGATGTGGACTGAAACAGGATCACGTTATGAGCAAGCAGAAGAAGGCAGAAGGGTGAGGTCCTCCAAATTCTTGCTCAGTCTGCGGTGGCCCTAGATCCAAACTCACGTTCACTACCAGTTTCTACAAAGCTGAGCTCCCTGCCAAGCCTGACCTTGGGTTTCCATCAGCCTCCTGTCTTATCGTCTTGCGCCCTGTAGATTCTTCTGTACGCTAATGCAACCCAGTTTTCTTTGCAAGTAAAAATTAATTAAAGTACATGTTTTTGTGTAAGCAATGTTTATAAAGTGCTGACTAGGTACCAGGCACGATATTTCAAGGGCCTTAAAAATGTTGTTATCACCTGCTCTAAATAAGGACACTGAGTTACAGGGAGGCAGGAGCTTGCCCAAATTCACACAGCTAGTGGCAGAGCTGGCATCTGACACTGGGCAGTCTGCCACTGGAATCTGCTCTTCCCTATGTGGCCCCTCAGCAGCCAACGTGCCATTCAATAATATTTTGTTATTTGCTTACTCTGTGTAGGCTTCATAAAGTTATTAGGCATGTTATATGGATAACTTGTTTTTATTTCAAAGAAAATATTTCCTCAAAATAGCTAAATATAATCCAGGAGGCAGAAAACCATATACCAAGGTTAACACCTTGTTAGCAATGTGGTGAAAGAAAGCGAGCGTTTTTTCTTCCTCTCAGAAATGAGTGTTCCCAAAAATTTGTTTTCTTAAAAAAAAAACAAAACTTCATTGTAAACATTTATATACATTTCCATAAACTATATTCACTGGAGGAAAAAAAATTCAACACAATGAAATAACTACAAACTAAAATGAAAATCTAACCATATCTTAGAGGCCAGTTTAGATAAACACCTTCTGACTTTTTTCCTGGGAATATATTATAACTATTGTAGACACTGCTAAGCATTTTAAATCTGCTTCATTAGCTGCTACCTAGCAAAATGTAAATTATTAACTTTCTTCTTATGACCATTGTTTTGCTCAGTTTGGATTTCATGCTAACATTCTAATGTAAACATTGCCTTGTAGATTTAACAAAGGAATGTACCCCAACAACAGCAGAGAAACATTCATTTCACAACATTTTCAAACACTTACATCACCGCAACTGAAACAATGCCAAAAGCTTCCTAGCTACATCACATCTTACCTACCTAGCATGCTTAGGGAGTCTTAACTCCAAGTATAAAGGAGGAATGACACAGAAAATATTCTTGTAGGAGGCTGTAAAGCCAGAAAGCAGTAGTAAAAATAAGTCTTAACCTTTCAGGCAGTACATTTTACCATAATTTTTCAACATCATCCCATACGTAAAAATTATCCTCCATATGAGAATAAATGTCACTTGAACCTCTCACTTCCTTGTCATAGTGGAACTAAGAGCTATTTTATGAAGAATATAGACTTTTTCTTCATACCAACCTCAAAAGATTAAAGATGGACTCCTGCTATATACTTCATTCTCTAAATATCCCATTTGAGACCTGTAAGGTTTAGTTTTCTTCTACCTCTCAATTTAAGTATGTAATATGACTCTTCATAACGCTGTTACCACTATTCAAGTAGTACATATTTATATCTTTTCCCAGGTTTGCCTCTTTCAGAGTTTTTAATCTGTTGCTGCCTGAACCATATACACTTCAATATTTTATAGTTTTCAATTATATTGTCTGAAGACTTCTCTAGATACTTTTTAATCTAACGCACTTCAGTCTACATTCATGAAGACACACTGTAAACTTTAGAGAAACATCCATTAGCGTTTTGCTTTGTTCTGTTTTTTAGTGATACCAACATTGTAGGTTTTGACCTATAGCTTCATACTACAGTGGGACAGTGTTGAGTGCCGCTGTCCTCCCTGGCCGTGTCTTTGCCAAGAGCAGGCATTGTATCATGGTCTTCAGAGAAAGGTCTGCAAATATTTACTCCCTGGAACACAGCAGTAAATCGTTCATCATCCTATACCTATGGTAGAAGTCATTTTCTCCCTAAAAACACAACCCAGTAGTTTTTTCCTCTGTCGCTCCTCTTCCTGCAGTTTACTGTCATTGTTGCATCATTTCCATATTCTGCCAGTCAGCCCACCTAACCTGAAGCAGTTATTAAGTGTCTGCTTTATCTAAGGCATTGCAGGATGTGATCTTTATGTAACAAGGGCTGTAAGATGATGTGCCATCCCTTTAGGGCTTACAAGGCAGGAGCTCATCTTACAGGTTTCAGTAGACAAGGTACATGTGGAAAGTTTAAGAAGAAAACACATGACAAAAAAGAGCTTAAATTGTTTAGAGGAAAAACAAAACAACTAGCATGTCCTAGAATCAAATCCATATTGGTGGTTATGAGAAGGGAAGAGAGACTTGAATTAGAAAAGGTACGAGCCTCTGTGATTGATGCTTCATCTATGCTCTTTATTTCAGTTATCTATAAAAGCAAGAAAGCAGAGTAGCCCTAGTAACAGAGAACATGACTGAATACTATGCAGCCACTAAAAATAACAGCGCCAAATTCTATTATAAAAGAAAATATTTATAGCTGGTTTCTAAGTAAAAGAAAGGTTACCAAAGAGAATCAGGTGTCATTTTTGTGAAAGAGAACTTATATATGCATATCTAGTCCAAGAAAAAGTACTGACAGTATTAAATACAATTGTTATTTCTAAGAGATGGGATTACAGGAGGTTTAATGTTTTATAACAACAGGCTATATATTTTGACCAGCAGCAACTCAGTGTCACCCATGAACTCTTAAAAAACAAACAACCATTTGATCCTCCTGAAGTGTCCATTTAAAATAATTGACTGGGGCCAGAAGACATTAGCAGCTTCACCACCATCTGACCAATGCATTTGAATCTGAAGGTCAAAATCCAACAAACAAATAAAGTTTGTGTATGTTATATTGTTTTGCTCTGTCATTTTCAACAAATGGTGCCCATGATACTCCAAATGTGTTTCTTCTGATAATGCAGCCTCAATTTCTATCTAGGATGTCATCTGAATTTACACTTGACTTACAATTCTCTTCTCTGACAAGCAAGTCCCTATTCCCTACACTATGACAAACATTCTTTCATGTTTTAATGTGTCTGTAATTGGACATTATGTAATCAATGGCATGACTTGTCATTTTTCTTTATTGGTACACAAAATAAAATAATGGCATGTTTGATAATTGATGGTGTCTTAAACTTGATGAAATATAGTATGTAAGTTGCTTAATGTTTGTCAGAGTAATAAAGTCGGCAAGTGAACCCAACATATGTGAACAATGATAAAGGAATAAAATTCTTGAATTAACAGATATTTTTCATGTTTCATTGTGGTTTAATTTTGGATCAATATTTCAGAAGCCATGCCATACTTGCTCTACCGGTAATGGGAGCTAAAACACTGTGAATGCAAGAAAAGATGAATAGTCAAATGCCCTAAAACTGACCTTGTCCAAAGTAAACTTCATTAGTCATTACTGCGTTATTCAAAGTTTATAATTTAATGAGCTTCATATGAAGAGACTGTAACTAGTTAATAGTTGACCTGGAACACAAAGGAATATATTCATTCTTGTCATTGCACAGTCTAAATTATTCATTAGTAAAATGTTTTTTTTGGAAGCTTCTTCAGAACTAACCTTAAATGCAGCTTCTAGACCATGGCAGTTAAAGAAACCTTCACAAAGAATTGTCCCAAGCCTTCTGTCAAAATCCAAAATTTTGGACTTAAACATAACATAATCACTTTCAAATTCCTGTCAAATTCAAAGCAAAGCATTAGTTTATAGGAAAGAACACAACCATGAAAACAGCAATCCCATAAGCATAACACCTCTCTCTTCCTCTTTGTGTCTTTCTGAATGATTTTATTTTTCTTAGTAGGACTCCAGGGAAAATCAAGAAAGAGCTTAACTGTTCAAGGGGCAGCCGTACAGGAGAACTGAACACTTAGCACAGTCAGCCCCTGTTTTCACAATTCTTTTCATTGGCTCAGACCCCAACATCAGTACTTTGACCCCCCAGTCTGTCTTCCTCCTCCCAGTCCATTTGGATTACACATGAAAAAGCAAAAGTTTTCCAAAAAGAAAAAGGAAAAAGAACCCATTCTCATGATGACTTCAGTGTACCTACAAGTTTAAATAGGAATTTTGCTTTGTTTTTCAGGGAGTAGAAAAACCTACCAGGAAACACTATTTCTTCAGGTGAGAAGTAAAATCACAGGTCTGTAAGAGAGCATCACTGGGGGTAGAAACAAAACAGAACATTGGCCCAGCTTCCTCCAAATACACAGCCAGCCACTCCCATAATGAGAGAGGATAACTAACAGCTGCAGCATAGCCTGCAACTCAGTCTTCAGTGCAGATGTCTCAGAAATTCAGAAACACTTTGGGCGTTCCAGGCAAAATGCACCTGTAGTGCATGCCTCACATTTAACAAAAAAGTAGTTCTCTCTTGCCTCCATAGACTGAGCCTCCATCTATTAACAACAGTAATAATGATGACAGCTAACATTTCTTCAGTTTTCAGTTCTAAATGCTTTATATTAACTCAATTCTTACAACAATATATGATGTAGGTAATATTTTTCCCAATATATTCGTGATAAAACAAACTCAGAGACATTAAATAATTTGCATTTTTTGGTAAATGGCAGTCACGCCATTGGTAAATGGCAGTCACGCCATTGGTAAATGGCAGAACCAGAACTTAAACTCTGGCAACCTGGCTCCAGAGCCCACACTCCAGCCATGATGCTTCTGTGTTTCCCTGAAGGAATGCTCCCCAGGCCAAATTTAACACTGAGAACAAAGAGAAACAGAAAAGTTCTAGGGCACTGGGCCTCACACCACAGTGTTACAGTTAGCTTCAAGAGGAAGTCTCCACTTGTCCTGAATTAGAGTCAGATGATCTCTTCATTCAAGGATCACTGACTTTCAAAAATAAACACAACTTTCCAACAAGTTCTAACAAGCCTAACTTAACCCTCTTCTCAGAAATGGCAACAAGCAATATACAACTTAAAATCTTCAAACATTATTTGAATACTTAGTAAATAATATTTCAGGGAGGGGAAAATGCTAATCTCCATCTTAGATCTCTCTTCCCCAAACTCTTACTCATTCAACCCAACTTCAGAACTGCTCATGAACTCTCTCCCTAGGAAATCACACAGACACTTCAAACTCATCTTGCAGAAACCTGAATATCATCTCTACCAAGCAGCTCTTCTGGCAATCTCCCTTACACCTTTCTTTTTTGGTCAACCTTTTTTCTTACCCAGGTCTTGAAGGTGTCCACTATTCTCCATCCCTCCAGCCATCACCCCTGGCTCTAGAACCATTACCCCTCATTGGAATTTCTCTTACCCATTTAATAGCTACTTTCTTTGCCTCTACTCTTGTCTCTGACTCATTCTCCAACCTGCAGTCCAAATAAGTTTTCCAAAACAGAAATCTTATTATGTCACTCTTATTTCTAATCCTCCAATTCATAATCTCAGTTCAGGATCCTTAATTTCTTAAGACAAAGTCTTCAAGTCTTACCTACAAGGCCCTATGTGGTTTGGACCCTGTTTTACTGCTCTCAAGCCTCCCAGCACCTCCCCGCTTTCACACTCTAGGATCTAACCATACCTGCTCATCGCATCCTGAGTAATACAGTTCTCTTTACTCCCTCTTCACCTGCTTCATTTCTATTTACTTTTTGGTTCTATTTACCCATCAGTTATTCTCAGTTTACATTCACCTATTCTGGGAAGAGCCCTTCACAAACGCTCTCATAGCACTCTATACTTTTCTTATCCTAACTCTGGGCACACCATGTAACTCCCTACCTGTAGGCCACCTCTGAATTTTAAGCTCTCTGATGGCCAGGATTGTTTTGTTAGAGTACCAATACTTAATGGAGTTCCCAGTACACAGCTCCTTCAATAAGGATTTTCTGAAGAATAATATACTTGTGTTACTCAAGAATCATTATAAAATTTTTTCTACATTCTGAAAACTGCAAACTTGTTATTTCCATTATTAGTGACACAGGAAATTGTGGAAGAGTTTTAGCTAGAGAAATGCCATGGTTTGACTTAGCTCCTAAAAGGTGCTCAAGCTGCTGTGTGAATAGACCCTATTGGAACCAAGGCAGGGGCTGAGGGAGCAGGTCAGAAACAAGTGCAGTCATCCAGGTCAGAGGTTAGATCTGGATATATTTTCAGGGTATACCTGACAGAACCTGACATCTGTCAGGAGAAAATGAGCAACTCTTCGTGAATTACTCAGCTGGACTGAGAAGTCCATTACACGTGCCATTTAATGAGTTAAAGACATGGAAGAACAAATTTGGAAAAGGCAAAGCCGGGGTCTAGCTTTGCATGTTTATTTTGAGATGTCTATTAAATACCTAAGTGGAGATATTGAGTAGGCAGCTGAATACGTGCTATGTGTTTGGGATTTAGGAAGGTTCCTTTAACTATAAGGTACTTTAAGCTTTTGGTAGATGCTCTTTATCAAGTTAAGGAAGTCCCCCTCTATTGCTATATTCTTATTTCCTAGAGTTTTTATGAATGGGTGTTGAATTTGGTCAAATGCTTCTATGCATCAATTAACACAATTATGTTTTTTTCTTTTCACCTGTTAATATGGGGGTTATAGTGATTTTCAAATACTGAAACAGCCTTGAATCCCTGGAATAAACTCCACTTGAAGATGGTATATAATTCTTTTTATATATTGCTCAATTCTATTTACTAATGATTTGTTAAGAATTTTTACATCTATATTTATGAGGGATAATACCTTGTACTTTTTCCCTTTTTTTGCATTATCTTGCCTGGTTTTGGTATCAGGCATACTACCTTCATAAAACAAATTGGAAAATGTTCCTCTCTCTTGTATTTCTGGAAGAGATTATGTGGAATTGGTGTTAATTCTTAAATATTTGGCAGAATTCTCCAGTGAAAACAATCTGAGCCTGGACAGTTCCTTCTGGAGAGTTTTAAAAATCACAAATCCAATTTCCTTAATGGCTATAGTGTTATTCAAATTTCATCCATCACAATGAAAAAATTTTAACTATGTGTGGTAATGGATGTTAACTAAACATATTGTGATAATCATTTCACAGTATATGCATAAATGAAATCATGTTACACACCTAAAACTAATATAATATGTCAATTATATATCAATAAAAATAGTATCAATTTCATATTGGGTGATGTATGGTAGCTCTGGTTTTCTGAGAAATTGGTCCAACACATCCAAGTTGTCAAATCTGTGTGTGAAGGGGTTGTTTTTTGTCTGTTGGTAGTCCCTATTATTCTCCTGATGTCTGCAGAGGATGTAGTGGTAGCCCATTTTATTCCTGATTTTGGTAATTTGTCTTTTTTCCTTCTTTGTAGTCTTGCTAGTGCTTTATCCTTTCAACGAACTAGCTCTTAGTTTCACTGATTTTTCTCTTATTTTTTTCAATTTCATTAATTTCTGCTATTTATTATTCCCTTCCTTTTAATTGCTTTAATTGCTTTGTATCAACTTTGCTCTTTTTTTTCCTCTAGGTTCTTAGGATGGAAATTTAGATTACTGATTTGAGGCTTTACCCTTTTTAATATACACATTTTAGTGCTATAAACTTCCCTCTAAGAATGGCTTTAGTTGTTCCCACAAATTTTGAACTATTTTCCTTGTCATTCAGTTCTCCATGTTTTACTTCCCTTGAGATTACTTTGATCCATGCAATTTTTGTAAGTGCACTTTTCAATTTCCAAATGTTTAGAGATTTTCCTGTTATGTTTCTATTATTGATTTCTACTTTGATTCCACTGTCAAAGAATATATCCCATATGATTTCAAATCTTGTAAATTTGTCGAAAATCTTATAGCCCTAAGTACGGCATGCCATGGTAAAGGAGCACTTGAAAATAATGAATTCTGCTGTTGTTTCATGGAGTGTTTTATAAATGTCAATTGGATCCTCTTGGTTGATGGTATTAAGTTCTTCTATACCTTTGCTGATTTCCCCTTTACTTATACTTTCAACTAATGAGAAGCGAGCATTGAAGCCTCCACTAGAATTGTGGATTTGTCATTTTTCTTTTCAGTTCTTAAAAAGAACTGTTCAGTTTCTGTGCTGTTATCTGATGCAAAAACATTTAGATCTACTATGTCTTCTTGATGGATTGACCCTTTTATCATTATATAATGATCCTCTCTGGTAATTTTTTTGTTATGAAGCCTAGTTTATCTGATACTTACATAGCCATTACTGCTTGTTTTGATTAATGCTTACATGTTTTTTCCTACCCTTTTACACTTTTAATCTGCACAAACAATTAATATTTGAAGAGAATTTCTGAAAGAAAGCATATAGCTGGGTCATGTTTTTACATCCAAGCTCTGTTTTTGTATTGGTGTATTTAGACCATTTACATTTAATGTAATTACTGCTATGTTAGGGCTTAATTCTGCCTTTTTTGCTTTCAGTTTGTTTCATTTCTGAAACTCTATTTGAACTTTTTGAGAATTGCTTTTGATGTATCTACAGTATTTAAGCATATCTCTTTGTAGTTTCGAATATTACACTATATACATTATTACACTATATATACATTAGTTATCAATGTCTAGAGTTGTCATCCTTCACCAGTTTGAGTAAAATATAAAATCTTACCTCCCACAACCAATGAATCAAGGAAGAAATTACAAGGGAAATTAAGCATATCTTGAGACAAATGGAAAAAAACCCCACAACATACCAAGAC